GCTGTATTTTTGACATTACAGTCCGTCTGAACGGTAGAGGAGGCATGCTGAATTGCAATTTGTAACCTCGGACTACAGTTCCCATGATCCATTGCGATGGAGCGCATGCGCGCCATGCTCTCAGGTTTGAAGAGAGCCTGAACGGCATGTTCGTTTGTGGGCTCGCTACGCCCTCTGCTGGACACAGATTTAAGCGAGGAGGAGAGTTTAACTCCGTCAGCCGGAGCTCCGTCTCCTTTATGTTTGAAGTTTGGTATGTGAAAAAAGGGAAGACATCGCCTTTCATTTCTGAATCTTGAGACAAAACAGTGTGAACACAACGTGTTTTTATTAATGTTGGTGCTTGATGACATTTTTTCTTTATTGCACAAACAGAGGGGTGACAAATATGAGCCCCTAAACATTTTTGTCCGCTTAATCTGGGTTTTTTGAACTCCGTCGCAGACTGAATCTGAGAGGCTCTCCGTTTTCCCTGTGGGTGGAGAGGCTCTGATTGTTCTGAAAACAGCTGCAGAGCTAGGCTGACTGCTGTTTCCTCTCCCTCACTGCTGATGAAGATTTTGACGCCTTCGTTTGTCTCGGGACAAAACGGTGTTTGGACCATGCTGGTTGTCCAGGTGGTGGGCGTCCTCGCTGATCAGCAGGGAACGTCCCCCGCGGTTCAGACTCCAGTGAAGGTCTCTTATGTGCGGGGCGATGAGGAAGAGAATGTTGTCGCGGAGGCGCGCTCCTGTGGCCGCTGGGGTCCCTGGGCTGGGAGTAATGACGTCTCGGCATGCCCAGCCGCAGAGCCTCCTCCCGCTTCCTTCTTTGATCGCAGCGGTTCTGGATCTTTTCCAAAGCTTCTCCAAACAGTCCAGTGGGTTCGACGGCCTGCTGGAGAAAAACGGAGCGCTGGCTTTCTGGCAGCTCGGCGAGAGTGAGCCACAAGTGTCGCTGAGCGACAACCGCTTCCGCCATGCTTTTTCCCAGGGCAATAGCTGCGGTGCCCGACAGCCGGAGGATAAAATCTGCTGTCCTGCGGACCTCGTCCAGCGGTTCTGCGACGTTCCTCCTTGATTGCAAAGCTTCCTGCAGCTCCTGCAGCTTTTCAGCCTGATACGCCTGCAGCATCGAGGTCGTATTTAGCGCACGCGCAGTGAGACCCTGCGCGCGGTAGATTTTTTCCAGCTGTGTTGCTGAGAACCGGCACTGTTTGCTGGGGAGCGTGGGTTTGCCGGCTGATGTGTTCGCCTTGGGTGCCAAGTGGGCCGCCAGTGTTTCATCCATGGGTGGGATGTACGACAGACCAGCTGGCTCCATGTTCTCCAAGTCCAAAAACTGAGAGAAAGGCAGGGATAACGGAGCCTTAGGGGACGCCCAGGACCGTGTGAGTTCCGTTAAAAAATCTGGAAACACAGGTAATTTGTGCCTCACCGAGGTCTGTTGTTTCGGGAGAAAATAATTACCAGCAAGTCTTGTCTGGAGCTGTCGAGGTGGGGGAGCGGGCCACGGCACCTTAAGAGACTCGGCCGCTCTGCGGCACAGCTCAAACAGGGCTGGCGTGGATCCATCCGCTTCAACAGGTGCCACCGCGGTTTCTTGTGAAAACTCCTCTGCTTCCTCGTCCGCACCTGCTTCATCCTCAGAGAGGCTGTCAGAGAGATCTTGTCCGCCAGAAACAAGTCCTGCATGTCGAACTTGACCAGGTTTTCATCCGTGTCATCCATGGGAAGCAGCCCATCCATCTGCTCATCCCAGGACAATGCCGTGATGCTGTCCTCCATCTCATCAGACTCCAGCTCCGTGGTCGGTCTGAGAGCCTCAGACAACAGCGGGTCTCTTGCTGGGGTTGAATTTCCTAACGTTTTTGTCAGGAATTCCATGCGCTTCTCCAGGGTCGATTTTCGGAGTCGGCTACAATGCGCACATGACTCCGGGTTAGCAAGTGCCGCCTTAGCATGCAACATGCCGAGACACACCGGGCAAGCTTCGTGGGTGTCCGCTTCCGAAAGAAAAAATCCACATGCGCTTGGACACGGACGTGAACCTGGGCTTCTTGCCTTGCTAGCTTTGCTAGAGGCTTTGATTTTTCTCTTGCTCTTTTCCGGCGCCATGTTAGCGACAGAGAAGGAGAGTAAACTTCTACCGGTTAGCAAGCTAAACAGGCAGAAAGTTAGCTGTGCTGTTCTAGACTTTTCCTCCTTAGCTGTAAGGCTAAAAGGGGAAGAGTGATCAGACCCGTTAGCAAGCTAAACAGGCTAGAAAAAACAGCAAGCGGAAAAGGTGATCGTTAGCTGGGCTAAACGGGCAGTAAGCAGGATCAGAACCTTGTAGTGACGCCCTAGGTAGGGAGCGAGCTCACCTCCAGTCGGACAGATGAGTCACATACAGGGGACCTGCAATCAGGTTAAAGCGAGGTGAAGTGCAAAATGATTAGGGAAATGAGACCTGGCTGCATATTTATAGGCCAGGAGGGCGGGGCCTCCGGTATATGCAGCAGTCTCATTTGCCTTGACGGGCGTGTTGAAAGAAACTTCTTCAGGTTGGTCTCGCGAGGGCGCAATCCCCATACTAATGTGTTGTACCGAGTGTACCGACCGAAAGGGAACCAAACATTCAGTTACAGGTGAGCAGAGTGAAACATTTAACAGGCAACTGACATATTTACTTCCAAAGAACTGAAGAATTTATGAAAATGAGACATGGTATGCATGACATCTATTCATAACTCATTTTAACTGAAACATTCACTGTAGGTAGAAGAGTTCAAGTCATTTTTACCAAATTGTTGGCTCTTCACTCTGCTGACATGACTGCACAGCTCATTTCAGCACAAATCAACTCCTAAACAGGAGATGCATATCAATAAAAATGATTAAACAGCTGAGGTGGAATATTTTTGTGAGATGACCTCACTCCTGCACATCAGCAGCTCCTCTGTGGAGAGTGTAGCACACAGTGTTTAGAGCATATATATGTCAAACTCAAGGCCCGTGGGCCAAATGTGGCCCTCATTGACATCTTATCTGGCCCCGAAGATGATATGTGAAATGAAAATTACTTCTATCTCTTGAAATTTTTCAATAATCTTTGATATGATGTTGAAAGCACAACAGAGAACATTAAGTGAGACCAGTCAAACTCTTGTTGAGGAACTTGTAACCAAGAAAAGATGTTGGGTATCTGAGTTGAGTTAATGTAGATCCTGAAATTGGCCCTTAGTTTGAAAAATATTTTAATTTGGCCCCTTTTTGCAAGAGAGTTTGACACCCTTGTTTTAGAGGTTTACATTACTGAACATGTCTCCTGGACCCTCTACATCATATAGACATAAAAATAAAGCCCATCAAACAAAGAGCGGGAGGAATTCCCTCTCCATCCCCACCACTTTTTACCACAACATTATTGAGCTCATTCTATCGATCTGCATTATTTCTTGGTTTGGCATCTACAGAGAAACTGACAGAAAGACTGCAGGGTTTAGTGATAGTCACTGCAGTGTTACGCCCCTCATTAGAGTCCCATGTTTTAAGGCAAGATGTGAGAGAATAGCTCAGTCTTGTGAGAGTTCCCTTTCTTCCTTGTCACAAGATGTTTAATCTCCTTAAATGATACTGGATCAATAACAACATAATGTACCACAGGTCAATTTCTCAGGTGGTATGGCTGCTAAATCTTCAGTAACCCTCATCTGGACAAGAGAAGTGTTGATTAATTTAGTTTTTTGCATCTTCTTCTTTCATCTTTTCTCTCTTCAGGGGTCACCACAGTGAGTCACCCTCCTCCATCTCACTCTGTCCTCTGCATCCTCTGTCCTCACCTCCAACTACCTCCATGTCCTCTCTAATTTCATCCATATATCTTCTCTTTGTCTTTTTCCTGGCAGCTGCATTTCTAACATCCTTTGACCAATATACCCACTGTCCCTCCTCTGGACATGTCCAAACCATCTCAGTCTGGTCTCTCTAACTGTATCTCCCAGTTGTTCAATCTGTGCTGTACCTCTGATGATCTCATTCCTAATCTTATCCATAACAAAAAATAGTTTTTCATATATGAAATGACAAAAACGCTGCTTTATATTTGAGGAATGCTAATTTTTACCCAAAGTTCCAGTTCAGTTTTATCATTTGGCCAGCGTATGTATTTATTCAGAAATATTTCTGGTCGACAATATGAACTGTGGTCCTACGTGAGTAGGGAAATGACGAAAATTGCAGTTTCATGGTTAACTTTAAGAACAGTTGGTAAAAGCTTTTCAGATGGATGTGATTTAAAAAAAAAAAAAACATTAAATATGTGGTGCTTTTGCAATTACTTAAGATTTAAAACAGTGTTTTCAACAATGTTATCTACTCTGTAGCAACAGAGTTTACATCACATTATCTCTATACAAAGTATTGGGATTAAAGTTTTCATTAGTGAATGTCTACCTTCCATTTTAAGTATATCTGTTGCACCACATGATCCTTCCCTTTTTAACATGTCTCTGCCACCTCACAATGAAACCTCAGCTGTGCTCAACAGACCACTAGCTTCTTGTGTTTTGTGTGGGGGTGGCAAGCTTCGGTCATCTGGCATCTTTGTATTTAGAATCATCTCCTAGTTCTTGCACTTTGCTAACGGTTTGCACTTTGCTAACAGTTTGTACTTTGATAACAGTTACTGTTTTAAACGCGCTATATAAATAAATTTGACTTGACTTCTTGGTCTGATTTGTTTCTCTTCTTATGCTACGCAGCGATCTCTAGTCAGAAAGAAGAGTAAACATTAACTCATCAGCTATCCAGAAAAGAAGCTCGGCAATAATTTCATTTTTTATTTTAATAGAAATTAAGTTTCTATCAAGGATCATTTCAACACTTTCTGCAGAAGCATGTGATGGTTGTATTTGTGTTGAGTTTTTTCACTCTGTGTGATTTGACTTGGATTTGTCAATTTGCCTCAGACAGTTATGACATGTTAACAATGTTTCTCTGCCTGGTTGAACAATATTTCTCCTATCTGTCCTCTTTCAGCTCCAGAGCCTCAGCCACAACGTGATCTTCACCCTGGACTCGCTGCTGAAGGGAGATTTGAAAGGCGTGAAAGGGGTGAGATTTACTGTTTCTGTTCTTGCTCACTATACCCCCCCCGTTTGGGAACACATGCATAGTCAGCATGTCTCTATCCATCTCTAAACTTCTGTGTCTGTGATAGAGTGCAAAGAATGACTGGGGGAGTTGAATAAATTCTCCTTCTGAACTGTAAATCTCTCAGAAGTAAACACTGCCTTTGTGTTGGGCTTGAGGCGAGTAACTGGCTCATGAACTCTTCATGTTGAAGGTACAAGAAGGGGCGTGGTCGCTGACCTGGCCTTCAGGCCGAGAATCATGAACAGAACAAGTCATTTTCTGGGCCTCAAGTGGTGATCCAAGTCCGCAAATAGCTCTGTCCTCAGACTGACCTCTTTGAAGTTAGCTGACTCTTGTGTTTCTGTGTCTCTGCAGGACATAAAGAAGCCTTTTGACAAAGCATGGAAGGACTACGAAGCCAAGTTGTAAGTGGACGAAAATAAATTGACTATCCATGTGCATCCACAATGTCCTAAACATCAAAATGTTTTAAAAAGATGACCCCCCCTCTCTTTTGTGTCAGTACAAAGATAGAGAAGGAGAAGCGAGAGCACGCCAAGCAGCACGGGATGATCCGTACTGAAATCACTGGGGCTGAGATCGCCGAGGAGATGGAGAAGGAACGACGCTTGTTTCAACTCCAGATGTGCGAGGTGAGTATTTTTACACCCAGAATTAACATGCAGTCATCTGAAAAAGTGCAAATGCATTTCAAGCGGAATGGCAAGACATATTTTGACATGCTGTTAAAGAGTTTTTGTTGCAAATATTTATCTCAGTTTCAAACTGAATAGACTAATTTTTTACATTTAAGCAATTCCTTGACGTCTGCTTCCTGTTAGTCTAAGTTGCTTGGCTTTTAGAGTTTCTTAAACATTACATGTAAACTAAAGAGATTCAAAACATCAATATCTATTTTATCAATTAGTTATAATGTAGTACAGTAGTCCTTCGTTTATCGAATACCCTGAAGCCCTGCAATAAGTGGAAAAACCACAAAGTAGGAACAGTAGTACAAGTAGTAAGTAGTAGTTTATATATATATATATATATATAAAGGCATTTTAACCTCTTTTCACACTCTTGCAACATTCTAAACAATGTTTCTAAACTCTAAATGCTCTAAAAGAGCACAGCATGTCATGATTTCAGCTCTCTGCCATCTGCCCTTGGCCACGCCCACTTCGCCACTGCAGAGCAGAAATCATGACACGCTACAGGAGGAAGCTTCTCCTGTAGTGAAGTCTGCACACAGGAATAAATAATTTAAAATTTATTTGAAATAAAAATTCCATGCTGATCGTGCGGCTCATCCATCAATCAGCCAATTGTGTGTCATGTCCAATCTTATTTTGAAGAACTGCGATAGAGCGAGTCCGCGATAAACGAACCGCGATGTAGCGAGGGACTATTGTATATGTTATTTCTACGACTTGTCATGTTATCCTATTACTGCGTGAGATTTATTTAAGAACGTTTAAAATATTTTGTTTTAAATTAATTCAGTATAAAGATGTAGCACTATGTTTATTGCTTTTTCATAATGGAATTAAAGGATTTAGTGAAAAGTGCATCATGGCTGGAACAAAAAAGTTCACAAAGTCACAATAAAAGTCTTTATTGTTCTTGTTAAAAATGCCAAACACATATTGTTCTTTTTAGGCCATATTGCACTTGCACAAAAGTTTCTTACCATCAAAAATGACATATTTTCAGCACTTTGCCAATTTAATGCTTGAACTTCAGGATTTGGGGGTTTCTGCTTATTAAAATCTTGCAATTTTTAAAGTTTTGCATCCTAACTTTTCACTTGTTTCAGGTTTTTATTTGAAAACAGCAACACCTTCAAAAAGCGATGAGACAAATATTTCAGGTTATTTTGACATGACTATTTATTTATGTATTTATTGCAATTGGAAAACCATACAAATAGATGACTGTTGTTTTTAATGGGAGGAAAAGGTTTGGGGATTCCCTGACAGCTGGTTGCGATAGGTGGAAGAAGAGAGGCACCATTCTGTGCTGGGTACAGTACAGTGGTGTTGACTGATTTTTTTAAACACTTAAAATAGAAAACTGGTTTATGTCTGGCTGTTAGATTTAGGATTAAGTTGGCTGATCTCTCTTGGGCGATTGTAATAGTTTGAGTAAAAGCTGTGGCACATGTAGCAGCAAATCATACCTGCTATAGTTTAGGAGACAAGTATGTAATCACCAGTCTGTGTCTCTTAACTGATTTAATGACAAAAGATAAAATCTGAAACAAAAGGATCAACAAAAAATATATAGTAAAGTGTTGTGATGCATGCTCAATAATCCAGGTAGATAAATCTAACAAGGTTGAGTCAGGTCCTCTGGACGGATTCTTCTTTGTTGAAACGTTAGATCAAATAATAACATTTTTACTAAAAAGTTTAAACTTATTGTCTTTAAGAGTTTTCAGACGTCCACCTCGTTCTGTAAGCCTGTAATTATGTTGTCACTCTGGTGCACAAAAAGGCTGAACTTGAAGAAAGGGGACAGCAAGGATTAAGTGTAAAACAAATGTGAGCCGTGTGCCCACGAGAATCAGAACAAACTGTTGAAGCTCATTCCGCTTTGCCAAAATCCTCTGTGGTGGTGGGCGGTGACGCCTACGCCTCGCTCACTGTTTTATCCTGGTCGGATTTTACTTTTTCTTGGATTACATAATGTTAGCTGCATTACTTGTGGTTTTCTGGATAAATCACAAGAAAACTCTGTATCCCCTTTGTACAATGGCTGACCTTGTCTGCTTCTCAGAGTATTTTCTTCCCCATATATTTTTTTGCCTGATTTTTAGAGCATGATGAGTCAGATTTTATGACTGCTTTTTAATTTTTTTTTTTTACTAAATAAGAAGGTGAAGATTGCAAACAGTGGTGGAGAAAATGCTGTAGTCGTGTTAATATCTTTACAAGTCTGCTTAATCTAGATTTTTATCATGTGAACACACAAAGTATCACTAGTTTTCTAAATAGGAGACATCAGGAACCGGACTAAAAATGAATTTCACCAGTTATGATTTATGTTTCATCTGTTATGAAATTATAATTTAAATATATATGTTTTGCTTTTGTGATACTGATTGGCTTTGTTGGTGTTGTCAATGTTTTGAGATGTTTTACTTAAATTAACTGTGTTGATAAAAACATTTTTTGGGGGGGTTGTTTTGTTTAGCTGCAAATTTAAACCTGCAAGTTTATTACTTCATGAGACTTGCAGAAGTTACAAACAAGATGGCAAGAGTTGTGTTTCTGAAGAGTCAGCTATAACCAGGGCCGAATTAACATTTCGCTGTACCCTGGGCAACAATCTTCAAGGGCCCCATCAGAATCACCATAATCTGGCAAAATACAGAATAAATTACCACAATATACAGTAAATATACTTAAAATTCTAACTATCAAGTGTATTTTTATATATAAACTCCAAATGTTCATTGACACAAATCATCAAGACTGAATTAAGTTGAACGCGCTTTGAACACCATATGACACCATATGTGTACTTGTTTAGTAACGTGTTGGCCACTGGAGTCAGAAGCATTTATAACGTGTGTGTGTGTGTGTGTGTGTGTGTGTGGAGGGGGGGGGGACACACTGATGGGGGGGGATCTGGGGGTCCTCCCCAAAAAATTTTTGAATAAAGTAGATGCAATTTCCTGCATTCTGGTTTATTTTAACAGTTTAACATCTAGTTTTACCTACATAAGTAAACACTTGGAACACCTTGGGATTCCCCTGGAGGAGCTGGTCCAAGTGGCTGGGGAGAGGGAAGTCTGGTCCTCCCTACTTAGGCTGCTACCCCCACGGATGGATGGAAGTAAACACTTGATTCAGTAACTATTTTAGAGCTAATGGCACAACAAGAAGTGGCCTGACCAACAACTGATTCAATTAAATATTATATATTCAAAGGTGACGATTTGATGCCCAAATTAAACCTAAATGAGTGTAACTTAGTTGACTTCAAATGCAATAAGATTATCAATGAATGTTTGCGACAAAGGATTTACTGATTATAACAAAGATTCCTTCAAGAAACCTCCCAGTATAAATCATAAAACCATAATGACTTCTGCTCATTCTAAATTTGTCAAATGTGAAGGAAAATTATTTAAAAATAATAAATAAGATATATCTTGTAGCCATGTTACTTGAAATATTTAAATTTGATGTTGATTTGTGTGTCTTTTGTAAATCAGAAGATGAATCCCTCGAGCAATTTTTATTTTTTCATGTCAGTACAAGTCTTTGGTTAGACATCAGAAACTGGATTAATCTCAAACTTAACATTCCTTCTTTTCATGCTGATGACATTTTACTTTATGTGGATAACTGAAGCTCAGCTTTCTCTGAAGCCTTAAATATAGTCGTACTTATAGCAAAGTACCACATTCATTGTAGTAAGAGGAGGGATAATAAGCCTTCCTTCCTGTTTTACGAACGATTTGAAGTCATACTATTCTTCATTAAGTAGATAAAAAATCTGCAAAACTGCTAAAATCATCTTTTATTGATGCTTTCATATTTTAATTTACCATTAATTTAGTTTTTATTTGGTGAGGCTCGGATAATAATTGAGGCTTCCTCTTGTGATTTTTGTTTGCCGATTCAACACCGACTCCTCTGCATCTTTTTTTTTTTTTTTTAAATAAACTCTTAGAAAATATTATTGAAGCTTTTAAAACAGATTTACCATAGTTTTTGCATAATTTCAGTAAATCTACCCAGCAGTTTTCTACGTTATCTAGTTTTGCAGCCCACCTCCAGTGGTTTTTGCCTGATACCAAACACAAGTGTAGCACCCACATCACATCAGCACTTCCTCTTCTCGTTGGCTTCTTCAGGTCAAGATTTGGTTTTAAATTTTGAATATTTTCTCTTAATAAACTATTTGAACTGCCGTGTTCTCTGAGGAAAAAAATCAGCTGTCTGGTTCTGACCACTTGTTTCTCTTCTGACTGCTTGCTTTGTAAGAATTCATAAAACTTTGTCTACAAAGCTTCTTGCTGTTTATGAGGCAAAATTTTAAGTTTCAAACCCTTTATGGCTTTCAAACATTTCTTGCATAACTTCACTTTTTGTAACGAGAAAACTTAATTTCTCGCGTTAGTTAAACTCTATGTCACTTTCTGTTTTAATCGATTATTTATCTCTGATTGTGTCAGCCTAAATGCAAATTTAGATTCACAGAATTGTGCGTGAAATGTGATAAACATCATGTTTAAGAAGATTTATGTTTTTGTTTATAATTTTGTTCAGTCTGGCTATTAATGTTACGTTTGACCTACTTTCCTCATGTCGTGGGAGATTTGTATTATTTGTCTGTATTTTGAATCATTTTGTTAATGTGTTAATGTTGCAGCCGATTAAAAAAAAAATCAACAACAACACCAGACATTTCCTAAATCAACAGTCGTTAATGACGGATATATCAGTGTGGCTCTTGTTGTGTGTGCTGCAGTCAGTGGTACAATCTGTTCATCCCACTTAACCTCATTTCTCTCCGTTGTGTGCACTCTGCCTCTCTCGCACTCCCTCTCCGTGTTACTCAATCACCAGATTACCCGACGCTCTCACTCGCTCACCCTTTTTTTTCCTCCACCCCACGCTGCTGGTGGAGGCGTGAGGAAAGGCCGGGCTCAGCGGGCTGCATTGTGCTCTGCAGCAGAGTGAATGTGAACGCTCATTCACACAAAAGGTCTCGCATGTGGCGGCACTCTCCAATAACACTGAACCCACTCAAGCTTTAGACAAAATGTGGCTAATCTTCTGTCCAACAAGCTCTGTCAGGCAGACAAAAAGACTACACGTGTGACGCATTTACTCGTGCGTTAACATGCATGCATCCACATAGACCTGTCGCAATATCGCATGATAAATGAAAATTATCAACCTCATTTGCATTTATCGGCTTTATCGTTTTTTCATGTCTCTCTTTCTACTGAAGACACTGGATGACAAAAGGCTCAACGCTGGTGCTCTTCACTGACCCTCCCTTTCTTCTTTAAAATGTGTTTTAACTGTCCAAAATCACGTTTTGGATCATTAAAAGTAGCTAAGCTGAGAAGCTAAGCTACGAGCTAATCTAACAGGCCGACCTCAGGGAAAAAAACGTCCGTCTTGTCGAAGCTCCAAAATTCACGGTTGAAACCCGTGCCTTTGTGTAAAAAGTTGTTTTTCTCTGCAACAAGAAGCTGAGACCTTGTTTGTTTGCTTATTTTTATTAAACGCTTTGTGTGAAAAATGCTATGCTAAATAGCTCAAACCACACCCAGCGTCCGCCATTTTGAGAACTGAAAAACAGGAAGGAGAGACAGCCTATGTCACATCAAGGGGCCTCCCTTTCATTTTTCTTAAAGAGACACGCTGCTCGCTCCCTCCCTAGCCATCCTTTTAGTTCAAACAGTCTTAAACTGCCATCCGGTGGTCGAAAAACGGTACTACACTCAAAACAAATTAACCAACATTTCTTCTTAAATTTGACAATAATTGCTAATTATTGTCAAAATTTTATCGTTTATCGCAATAATTTCTGAGACAATTAATCGCCCAGCAAAATTTTTTATCGTGACAGGCCTACATCCACACACATGAGGAGAAAACAAAAACTATATACAGGCACCAAACTTTGCTGGGTTAAAATTGGTCTATCTTAGCTGTGACTAAATCTGTGCAGACTGACTTGCTGTAAGATTAGCAGAAGATTATCTTTTGTTTGTTTGGTGGGAGCGCCGTCTGAAGAAGTTTGTCTCGATTCCTCAGACACACAGACTGGTACTACACACCAAACAGCTCCTTCTTTTCAAGTCACTGCTTTGAAATTAGTTTAAACCAAGGCAGAGGGATGGGACTTTTTGTTTGTGTTTGAAGCCTCAACAAAGTGCTCACCTATACAGCAAATGTTTCATGAATCACATGTACACTTAGATGTGACTACCATAATGCAGTGTGTTCATATTATTCTTTGTCTGTGTAAATGTGCTGCTTATATATTTGTCCTTACACGCTAAAAATCCTTTTAACATGCCCTGAATTTTACCCTCGATTGAACCTTTCTTCTCTCTTTGCAGTATCTGATCAAAGTAAATGAGATCAAGACCAAGAAAGGAGTAGACCTCCTGCAGAACCTGATTAAGTATTACCACGCACAGTGCAAGTAAGTACCACCATAGTCTCCCTAACCCGAATGTGCAACACAGCTTTGCCGTGAACTCACGAAGAAATATTTCACAACGTGCCATAGAAAGAAAAGTGCTGCCTCTCCCCTCCTTCGCAGTAGTTTGATGTCAATTTTCTCCCGTATGATCCACAGATCTTGAGTTGCTCGGTTGCACAGCTCTCATAAATCTGCACAGGTCGTCATAAAGACTGGGTTTGGTGGGTAAATAAAGCGGGTGCTCTCCTCGCCAGAACCGCAGCTGTGACAGAATGACAGATTTTCTTCCAGCGTTGCTACGTCCTGTCACAACACTGGGACAAAACAATACACTTCCCCGCTAATCTCTTCATCCTGGGTCTTGACGGATAGAAAGGCTGCAGCTATGATGGATTAGAAACATTAGGGCACCGGATGGAGAGCTGAGGAAAGTGTGCAACTGCTCAAAGCTCGAGAAGAAAGAAAATTTGTGTTCTCAATTACAAAACGCGCAGATGCAAAACATTATCATGTGTTTGCTATTACTGGTGTTGATCAAGCGTGATTATTGTAACGTAGTTTCAAATTATCTTAGTTAAACTGGCTTATGTGCATTGAGATGGAACGTGAGTTGACTATTAATCATCTGGGTACTTACAGGTGTGTGCGTTTCCTCACTTCCTTAGTTGCTTTTGAGAAATATTTGCTGCTTTTTTGCTCGAAATGAGGGATATAGCCTTAAAATATATCACAGCATTTCCACGAAATGTGGTACTGTAAAGTTATTTATAATAATATAACAAAAAATCCACTGGACGTTTTGTTTTTGAAGCTTACAGGAAGCAGCATTTACACTGACGGCAAAATTAATCCCCTTCTGATCTGACAAGTTTGTTTACAATGACATGAAAAGTCTAATTTTTGTGGTAATTTCATTTTAATCCCTCTGTAGCACACACATTACAGTCAAACATTCCTAAGGTCAACTGATGTGTATAAAGCCCACCTGTACACAGAATCTGTTTCTTCCATCCCAACCTCTCCACCACTATTAGCAAGATGAAAATCCTGTCAAAGGATGTCTGAGATGAGATAGTATTCAGTACGAGGCTGGAATGGGCTGCAGGATTATCAGCAAAATGTCTGACTATCGTGGTCTGGAGCTCCATGCATGATCTTACCTAGTGGGTAAAGTTGCATTCGGGCCTAATAAATCAGAGCCCGTAATTTTGTTTTCTGAGCCCTACCTGGACCCAACGAATAACCAGTAATTAGAGGCCCAAACCCGAAAAAAAAAGACTTTTTTTTAAATTAAGCTTTTACTGCTTTTGTAAGTAAATCAGTTTGACATGATAGTTTTAAAAATGTAATGAAAGGAAGCTATAAGATTTATTTTTATTAACAAGTCCGGATATTAACATACAAAACATCCATCCATTATCTTTAACCACTTCTTCCTTTTTGGGTAGTGGAGGTCGCTGGTGCCCTTGTCCAGCAGTCACTGTGCGAAAGGTGGGGTACACCCTGGACAGGTCGCAAGTCTATTTCAACCGGCGAGTTAGCGGACGCGTGCGACCGGTGACAGGTGTCCATCTGAGCTTAACGCAACTTTTTAAACCTCTTTAAACGGGCTGGTCGGACCTGCCTCCTCCTCAACAAATAGATTAACACAATTTTAGAAACTTGTTGATGACCTGATGGCAGTAAAAATTTGAAAAAGAACCTTTTCTCAGCCAGATTCATACATGGGTCTTCTAGCATGACTATAACGAAGTCAACAAATGAGCGATTAAAGACGCATGTTTAAGATCATGGAGTGACCTAATCAGTCTCCAGACCTCAGTCTCAAGTTCATATTTTATTACAGTTTTTCTTTTACATTTTAATACTGTTGTTGGTTGTAACTGGGACCCTGTGTACACAATTTCGTTCCACCTACCACATGTGGTGTGTATGACAAATAAAGAACCTTGAATCCTTAAAGATCTGTGAAGCAAGCGGAGTTTCGAGTTACCAAGCATCAGCCAGGAAATCTAGTTTTAGTTAAAAATGAACCCACTGCACTAGAGACAATTTGTTGCTTTGTAAGTTTGCAAACTTACAAAATCAACTGGAGATAAAATTATGTCCCCCATCATCCTAATGCTATCAAAAGAGGGATATTTTCTTTCTTTTTAAATTTATTTATATGACCGTCTACACATAAACACCATTTGGAAAAGGCTTCAAAACCTTGGCTAAACAAAATGTAACAGCATCATTAATTTCCATGAACTGTTGCTTTCTGTTATTCAGAGTGCTCCTGGTCATTTATTTATCTTTATTCCACACATACACCTCCTCATCATGCACTTTTATGGCTTCATGTACTCTGCTGTTTTTTCTTAAAATACTGTAAAAAGCTTCTACCTTTAGCCACAACAATTTTCTTGCATATTTTCTAAATATCTGTGCTCTGTTGGAACATCTGTCCTCTTTCATATAACTGAAGTAGCTTCCAGAGGATAATGCACTGCTCTCTCCTTATTGGTGGTCAAGATGATATTTAGATGTTTGCTCTGGGGAACGCTAACGCATCGTGGCACTTCTTATCCCACTAAAACAATACAGGTAGTAGAGGTTACGACCTGATTCAGTCCTATATTGTTGTAATATGTTCCTTAGCATGTACAACAAAAGTGACAAAAGGTACTGAAAGTGTTTATTATTGTTAAATGTGCATAACATCAAGGACGAACCCTTGTCTGTCAAAAAACAGCTTAAACTGTACATTTTGACACTTAAGCAGAGCTTGACGAGCAGATCTAGGTAGAGTGGGAGAAGAGATATGGGATCACCAATGCAGTGATTGAAAGAAAACGAGTCGAACACGATGCAGCCGAGAAAGTAATGAGAAGAGGAAGGGAATGTACGTTCCAAGAAGACTGAAGGAGGAGGTTATTAGTAGTGATTTGCTGCTGTAGAGCTTCATCGAGGTGTGTGTTGCTGACAGATCTATAATGGATTTCGGGATGTGCTAAACGCCTCTGCAAATTTGCCATAGGGCTGGCCAGATCTGAATTCAGTCCTAAAAGCTAAAGGTACCAAAGTCAAGCTGAGCTGTGCATCAAACAAACCAGTCTCATTTTTTTTTGTGTGTGGTTGACCTTTAGAAAGGCCAACAGGATCGTACTGCAGCACATGTGATACTTCCTGTAAATGGCTGATCTGTGTTTGAATGTTGTAGTTCACATGTGTCTTTTTCCCCAGTTTCTTCCAAGATGGCTTGAAGACAGCAGATAAGCTGAAGCAGTACATTGAGAAGCTGGCAGCTGACCTCTACAATGTAAATAACTTTTCTCATTTAGTTTTTTTAGTTTTTATTTTTTTGCTCAATATGGTCTGATATTTTTTTACTCCTAAACCTGCGTCAGTGTACAGTTTGATAAAGTTCTCATTTTCAGGTAGTCGCTTTATTTTCACTCCTCATCATCTTTGCCTTTTCATTTGCTTTGGTTGTTATTGTGTGCTGCATTATGCAGTTGTAACCCAGGTGTTAAATCCTAAGTCTAAGTCCCCATCTCCTCTTGGTCCGTTCTGCCTCTGCAATGGTTTTCACAGTTTAAGATCTTGCGATACTTCTAATGAAGTGAGTAGATAATCTCACAAGAATGGCGATGAATGGTCATTCAGATAAAATTTCACTGGTTATTGTAAATATATTGTTGAGAATATTAAATGCACAGTACAGGTGCCTGCCATAAAATGAGAATATCATGAAAAAGTTTATTTATTTCAGTAATTCCATTCAAAAAGTGAAACTTGTATATTATATTCATTCATTACACACAGACTGATATATTTCAAATATCCTGATGCATGCTCAATAATCCAGGTAGAAAAAAAAAACAAAACAAAAAAAAAAACATTTTTTTGAATGTCCAGAGGACCAGATTGAACTTTTTTTGGATATATTTCAAATGTTTATTTCTTTTAATGTTGATGATTATAACTGACAACTTATGAAAAACCCAAATTCAGTATCTCAGAAAATTAGAATATTGTGAAAATGTTCAATATTGAAGACACCTGGTGGCACACTCTAATCAGCTAATTAACTCAAAACACCTGCAAAGGCCTTTAAATGGTCTCTCAGTCTAGTTCTGTAGGCTACACAATCATGTGGAAGACAGCTGACTTGACAGATGTCCAGAAGACGACCATTGACACCTCGCAAAAGGAGGGCAAGACACAAAAGGTCATTGCTGAAGAGGCTGGCTGTTCACAGAGCTCTGTGTCCAAGCACATTAATAGAGAGGCAAAGGGAAGGAAAAGATGTGGTATAAAAAAGTGTACAAAAGCACTTTGAGATTCACTGTGAATGTAAAGTGCATTATAAATAAAAGTTTTTATTATTATTATTATTATTACAAACAATAGGGATAACTGTACCCTGGAGAGGATGGTGAAACAAAACCCATTCCAAAATGTGGGGGAGATTCACGAAGAGTGCACTGCAGCTGGAGTCAGTGCTTCAAGAACCACCACGCACTGACGTATGCAAGACATGGGTTTCAGCTGTCGCATTCCTTGTGTCAAGCCACTCTTGAACAAGAGACAGCGTCAGAAGCATCTCGCCTGGGACTGCTGCTGAGTGGTCCAAAGTTATGTTCTCTGATGAAAGTAAATTGTGCATTTCCTTTGGAAATCAAGGTCCCAGAGTCTGGAGGAAGAGAGGAGAGGCACAGAATCCATGTTGCTTGAGGTCCAGTGTCAAGTTTCCACAGTCAGTAATGCCACGTCATCTGCTGGTGTTGGTCCACAGTATTTTCTGAGGTCCAAGGTGAACGTAGTCGTCTACCCGGATGTTTTAGAGCACTTCTTGCTTCCAGCTGCTGACCAACTTTATGAAAATGCAGATTTCATTTTCCAACAGGACTTGGCACCTGCACACAGTGCCAAAGCTACCAGTACCTGGTTTAAGGACCATGGTATCCATGTTCTTAATTGTTCAGCAAACTCTTCTGACCTTAACCTCATAGAAAATCTATGGGTTATTGTGAAGAGAAAGATGTGACACCAGACCCAACAATTCAGAAGAGCTGAAGGCCACTATCAGAGCAACCTGGGCTCTCATAACACCTGAGCAGTGCCACAGACTGATCGACTCCATGTCACGCTGCGTTGCTGCAGTAATCCAGGCAAAAGGAGCCCCAACTAAGTATTGATGCTGTACATGCTCATACTTTTCATGTTCATACTTTTCAGTTGGCCAACATTTCTAAAAAATCATTTTTTTACTTGGTCTTAAGTAATATTCCAATTTTCTGAGATACTGAATTTTGGGTTTTCATTAATTTTTAGTTATAATCATCAACATTAAAAGAAATAAACATTTGAAATATATCAGTCTGTGTGTAATGAATTAATTTAATATAAAAGTTTCACTTTTTGAATGGAATTACTGAAATAAATCAACTTTTTCATGATATTCTAATTTTAAGACCAGCACCTTTAAATATATGGCACTAGCAAAACTACAAAAACCCTCAGTCTCTGTCTGCTCCTTCATGAGTTGGAGTCTAGTCTTCTGATAATCTAGCCTTAACCTTGTTTTGGGTCTCCAATCAATTACACTGATCACGTAATACATGCAGTGTATTGTTAAACCTACAAATATGCTACACAATCCTTTGGGAAACCTTGTTTGCAAAAAGTTATTTCATTAGTCGCATTTTCTCTGCACAGATTAAACAAACTCAGGATGAGGAGAAAAAGCAGCTGACTGCTTTGCGAGATTTGATCAAGTCCTCCCTCCAGCTGGACCAGAAGGAGGTATGCACGTCACACATGAAGCCAAATTAAACTTAAACTGAGCTACATAGGTCGAGAAACAGCCACAACAGCTCTGACTTTGCACCGCACGCTTCCTCTCACTCTGGCCACTACCACGTTGGAGCTTGTCTCCTGCAGCACAGAGCGAGTGTCCAGTGCTGTACCATGCTGGTAGCCAGTGTGTAGTAGGCTTTGCTGGTGACCAGTGTTGTGCCTCACTGGCTGCTCAGTGGAAAGCCACTCACTCTTGTCGTCACACTCACTTTAAAATCAAAACTAATTCTATTTAACAGCCTGGGCTGTTTCCACGCTCTCTTTACTCAGTCCACTTGCATGAAATGGCATAGACTGTCATTTAGTTTACACTTTCTGTAACTTCTGGAAAGTTAGCACGTTGTATTTTGTTTGACACATGGTCAGTAACACATTTTTCACACCCATTATGTGCACCCGAGCCAGATCTTTCACACCTCTCCCCTCTATCTCCTCCTTTTTGCCTTCTGCTTGTCTGGAATCAAGTCTAGAAGAGTAAGTGAGGCTGCATGTTGAGCATGCTGTGGTTCACAAGTAGACTGCTTTGATCGTGTTAGGTTGTTGCAGAGCATGCCCCGTGTGTCGCATTATTATTCCTGTTAGCACTCTTTTTGTATTTTTAATTCTTTACAAGCGCCCCTTTACCTTGGTGTTAGTATAAATACAATTTTCGAGTGTATGTGAGCAGTTGTTGCATGTTTTTATGGAGCTCTTTTTACAGCAAATGTGTTTATTGTTAAATTTTGTGCGTCTGTATTGTGTGGCTTCTCTCAGGACTCGCAGAGTAAGCAGGGTGGCTACAGTATGCACCAGCTGCAAGGAAACAAAGAGTTTGGAAGTGAGAAGAAAGGCTACCTTCTGAAAAAGAGTGATGGGTAAGCCACAAACACAGGCTTTATGAAAAATATTGTTTTTAAAGTTAAGAACGCACATTTTCCTCTGCAAATGACTGGAATTATGTTTGACATGCTTGACTGGTGACTGCACCCAAAAGTTATATTATTCTTTCTGCTTTGTGAAAGATTTATAGCTAACTTCTTTAAATTTACATTATTTTTTCCCCAATCTTTAAAACCACCATCATTAAGAGGCTAATTTGCTCCAGCAACTGTGCATATTAAATCAAAACTGGCAGGTCGGATCTTTGCAAAGGTTGACCTAAGACATGCAATCGGTGCAGCTCTTTAAAAAAAAAAAAAAACTCAGCTCTAATGCATGAAGCATTAAAATTTATAAGGCAGACAAAGAAGATATGACACGACAACCTCTTGCTAATGTGTGGGGCGTCCTCCCACAGGCTGAGGAAGGTGTGGCAGAGGAGACAGTGCTCAGTGAAGGGAGGGATCCTCACCATCTCTCATGCCACAGTGAGTGCACAAAACACACACATGCACACACCCTCCTTAACACAATCATATGAACTCACCAACCCTTCAACAGCGACTGATCAGAGGGAGAACATTATGCAGCGAGGATGTTGTTGGGCTTTTCCAATCTGGAAGCTGGCAGTGGGATTGACATAGATGGGTTGCCATGGTAACTCCCTCCCTTTCTTCTCCATGCCCTCCATTCCCCCCCTCCTCCTGCTGTGCAGCGGTGACTCATCTCTAATGGAGTGTGTGTGTACTGTATAAGCTGGCACATCTTCAGCATTGTCCTCGCTCTTGTGCAGGAGACGTAGTCGAGTCTGGGTGTTTTTTTCTTTCCTCTGCAGCCTGCAGGAGGCCAGTTCTGCATTCAGTTCACATTAAATCTGTCACACTGTCAATAAATTATTTCTTATTTAAATGCTTATTTAAATGGACTGAGGGGCTTCAGATATTAAGTATTTCCAATTTGTAGTTGACTCACTTACTTTCTGTGCTTTCTTCCCAGAAATACATTGACATTTAGATGAGCTTATAAGCTAACATTTTCCTTTATGTTTTATTTATTTATTGTTGCTTCTATGATTTAGGGCAAGCATTGAGTCATGTTCCCTCTGGTTGCTTATTTTCAGGCAGTCACAAAAGAAATGGAAAGCTCTGCTGGTGCATGATGACTTTGACTAAATGTGAGCTTGTGCTGTTTTATTGTCCACGCTTGCATTTTTTTTTATTTAATTTTTTTTAAGCGTGAGATTGTGAGCATGATGTGAGCATCCATGCAGCTGCTGCTCCACACGTCTTTTCTGTGTGCCGCGAGTAATTCAGAGGAAGTTGTTTTAGAAATTAAAGGAAAATATTAAATATTTTAACCTATAAACATCCACAGTTTGTGGTAATCATCCAGTAACTTAGTGTGTGAGATGTTTGGCACCTTTGTTTTGTTTTTTTATTAGCCTTTGTGGCAGCTGAACTGGAGGTGACTTCAGCCAACATGGCGTGTTGGCAGCAGGCCAGCGCAGCTCCAAGCCCCATCTCGGCTTGTTAGCGTTTCATTAGCACGTGCACCACTTGTTCCTCGCCCTGGACGCTGGCAGGAGTCAAAGCTCTGCGTGAATGTGCCAACTGGGCCCATTATTACAGTACATTAAAGTCCAGATTCTTAGGTGTGTAGTTTATCTGGTATCTATGTGACAGTTTGTGTAGCTCAGTTTGCAGAAACTGTGTTTAATAACTTTGGTGCATTTATCAAGAGCAATTATGCAAATTATTTATTGAGTAAAAATACCAACCATCTGGTGGCTTCAACGTCTTCTATGTGATCATTTTCTTTTGTTATTTAACTGTAGAGCCATTTTTGGGTCGACAGAATGCGTAGCGCCTACCACCATTTGGTATTTGGCAGTGCAGAGTACGGTGACTGAAAAACAGTTGGTTTTAGAAGCATTTTAGGAGAGAGTTTGTAAAAGTTAAGTCTAAATAATGCATGTTTAAACAAAGATTCATTATGTTGCAGCGTATACAGCTTCCTGCTGTCTGTCTTCTATTTTTCTTTAGTTGTTCAGTCACTGCTCTTATCTGAACTAACAGCCCATAAAGTCAGAAAAGACTAAACAATAGCAAGTTGACTACAAAATGATAAGGACTTGGGGAAACTATTGTTGTAAATTAAATTCAGTCCAAGTAATTTGGATATTTTTTCTAAAAATCTCTAAATATGTCATTTCATCCAGTCTTTGTCAATAAATTTTAAGGCACCATCTTATGCTTGTGTTCAAATTTATATTATTATTCCAGCTTTTTAATATTAGATGACAATTTATCCCTAAGTTCAATGGGACAAAAGCATTTTTACAGGCTTGTAGGAAACCTTCTGAGAGACAGAACACAGATGTTTTAAGCTTTTGTGCTCATACTTTGTGGTTATATTCCTTTTGTAGATAATCTTACAAAGAAAAATGTTATGAGTTAGCCTCGGGTTGTGGTAAATAATTAGAAAACCATGTGAAAGGTAAATATTTACAGGGGTGATTTCTATGTATGATTATCTCAACATTTGAAACTTGTGCCACAGGTTTGTATGAATAGTCAAGGAAATGACCTTTTATTGACTGCACACTTTTCTTTGGCCTTTTTTATTTTTCCCTAAATTCTCACAGGGTTAAGTTTATAAAAAAAAAAAAAAAAACACTTTGCAGCAAAAGCTAAAACAACAGTAAAATAAATAAATAAAACTTAGCAATATAAACTTGGACAGATGCAATTGTGAAAGATTGTAGAGTTGTATAATATGATTTCCATTCATAAAAAATGTTTCCTAGTCTTCTGTGCTAATGTAAATAAATATAGTTTAAAAGTGTATTTCCTGTGAATTTTACAGGTTAAACTGCTCTTGCCATGGTGCAAATCTTTTACTCAGAAACTTTGCAAAGTAACAAAACTACTATTTACCCGAGCTGCATATTAAAGAGGAAAGTCTTATGGGATGCTCCTAATCATAAAGAAAACTACACAAAGACATAAAAAGCTTAGCTTTGAGATAATTTCTTTGGATGGCAGAAAATGTCTGGAGGATTGTTTATTTACACCAACAAAGAAATGTAACAAGGAACGATTACCGATTTATTTAAACTAGGGATGCACGATATCAGATTTTTGGCTGCTATCCGATATGTCGATATGTTAAAACTAATTTGGCCGATAACCGATATCAATACCGATATTTTTTATTTACAGGCATTACATAGCTTTCTCTGCTGTGTAATTAAATTACTACATTATTCTGCATGGTCTTTGTCAATTTGTCCTGCTACCAAATGCAAATGCCAAAAGGGGGCTGAAAATGATGCAACACTTCATAAGGATTGTTTAATTTCCAATTTATTCATGACATTTACTCTGTAACACAATAACACTCGAACAAGTGCAAATTTGTACATTTTCACGAATCTAAACTCAACCTGTTCACAAGCGACAATTGCAAAGTGCATAAGTAGTAGTGCATTAATAAATATACTTGACAGTTTCTTAAATTAAAAATTAACTTAAAGCAGAAGCCTTTTATATCGGTGAGTTTTTTTGATGAAATGGCTGATGTCCGATATTTAATTTTATCGTTTAAATTAGCCGATACCATGCCGATAATATCGTACATCCTAATTTAAATCCTTAAGTATTAATGTGTTTTGAAGTCAAATTCACGTTTTGTATTTACAGTCCAACCGGCAGCCGGTGAAACTCAACTTGCTCACCTGCCAGGTGAAGCCAAGTGGCGAGGACAGAAAATGCTTCGATCTTATTTCTCGTAAGTTTTACACAAACATACCTGAAAAGTTCAGTTACAGACAGGTTAGTATGATAGGAGCATTTTCAAAAAGCAAACCGTGCTCTCTGTACCGCAGACCGTTTCACCAAGAAGACCTGCTTATTAAATTATAAAATGCAAAATCATACATTTGCATGCTTAACGCCACATCCTCTGTTTCCTGCAGATAACCGGACTTATCACTTCCAGGCTGAAGATGAACAAGAGTTTGTCGCGTGAGTATTTCGTATAACTGTTGCTACAAGAAAAAAAGAAAGCAACACAATCTCATTCTGTTAGAAAGTAATCATTAAACATGTGGACTCAGCCTGGTTCAAGCAGCTAACCATACTTAGCAAACACAAAAAATGGCTACAACTCAGATAAAGAACTAAAGTTGTGACGTAGTATTTGTGTGCGAAGTCAGTGATCTGTATGTTTTTTTTTTTTTTAAAGAATCCTACTTTGATTTAAACTTTTTACCATTTATGATAGTCAGGCATGAATATAGGAATTCAAACACCCACTTTATTGTTTGTATTTTTCTTTCTTTAAATGAGGTCTTGGTTAGTGGCTGCTGTGAAGCTTTTGTGTTTTTCTCAGTTTGGTGAAGACCAGCACTGGTGCTGAGTATTTTACTGTGATGTCAGCAGCAGGATTTTGTGGTTTGACTCATGTTGCTGCAACTTTTATTCAGTTGTTTACTATGAACATGCACTTGCTACACGTTTGCAGAAACACACAATCTCAAAACAGGAGATACTGGACATTTACTTATATGTTTTAATGACTTCCTTTTTTTTAATTTTGAAAGTTTTTTTTTTTTTATGTCAAGCTTTGTTTTTGCCACTGGAAAAAAAAAAAGACAGGTGTCGCATTAAAAACTACCCGTTCCCATAAGTTTGTGTAGGTTGTTTGAAATCTTTCTCACTCTGTTGTAACAAATCATTTTATTACCTGTCAGAACTGAAACCCTCTGAAAACACATTTTGATTTGTGGCATTTTTGTTCTGAATTCTCCTCTTTTGATGGATTATTTTCTGTTCCTGTCATGAAGCGGTTGTGCTGTTTGGGTCTGAGCAGCTCGAACACTCCTCATGTCAGTGCACGTACAGTCCTCTGAGGTTTTCTGCTGTTGGTTGTCAGCCATCAGAACTCCCTTTTTAGTACAGGTATATTCCCCATTTTAGGTAAACAAACAATGTGCCTTCATATCAGTGCACCTACTGATCAGTGGATTATAAAAACCAGTTTTTCACACAAACAAGTGAACAAATAAAAACAGACTTTTGAATGAGGTCACTTTGTGGCTGGTTGTAGCTTTCCAGGGAAGACACTTAAAGCATGATGTATATATCTATACAGGTGCTGGTCATATAATTAGAATATCATGAAAAAGTTGATTTATTTCAGTAATTCCATTCAAAAAGTGAAACTTGTATATTATATTCATTCATTACACACAGACCGATATATTTCACATGTTTATTTCTTTTAATGTTGATGATTATAACTGACAACTAATGAAAAACCTAAATTCAGTATCTCAGAAAATTAGAATATTGTGAAAAGTTTCAACACTGAAGACACCTGGTGCCACACTCTAATCAGCTTATTAACTCAAAACATCTGCAAAGGCCTTTAAATGGTCTCTCAGTCTAGTTCTGTAGGCTACACAATCATGGGGAATACTGGTGACTTGACATTTGTCCAAAAGATGACCACTGACACCTTGCACAAGGAGGGCAAGACACAAAAGAGGCTGGCTGTTCACAGAGCTCTGTGTCCAAGCACATTAATAGAGAGGTGAAGGGATGGAAACGATGTGGTATAAAAAAGTGTACAAGCAATAGGGATAACCACACCCTGGAGAGGATTGTGAAACAAAACCCATTCCAAAATGTGGGAGAGATTCAAAGAGTGGACTGCAGCTGGAATCAGTGCTTCAAGAACCACCACGCATAGACATATGCAAGACGTGGGTTTCAGCTGTCGCATTCCTTGTGTCAAGCCACTCTTGAACAAGAGACAGCGTCAGAAGCATCTCGCTTGGGACTGCTGCTGAGTGGGCCAAAGTTGTGTTCTCTGATGAAAGTAAATTTTGCATTTCCTTTGGAAATCAAGGTCCCAGAGTCTGGAGGAAGAGAGGAGAGGCACAGAATCCACGTTGCTTGAGATCCAATGTCAAGTTTCCACAGTCAGTGATGGTTTGGGGTACAATGTCATCTGCTGGTGTTGGTCCTCTGTGTTTACTGAGGTCCAAGGTCAGCGCATCTGTCTTCCTGGAAGTTTTAGAGCACTTCATGTTTCCTGCTGCTGACCAACTTTATGGAGATGCAGATTTCATTTTCCAACAGGACTTGGCACCTGCACACAGTGCCAAAGCTACCAGTACCTGGTTTAAGGACCATGGTATCCATGTTCTTAATTGGCCAGTAAACTCGCCTGACATTAACCCCATAGAAAATCTTTGGTGTATTTTGAAGAGGAAGATGTGATACACCAGACTCATCAATTCAGAAGAGCTGAAGGCCACTATCAGAGCAACCTGGGCTAAAAATCTAAAAATCTTTTTTTTATTTTTTATTGGTCTTCAGTAATATTCTTGGGTTATTTGGGGTTTCCATTAGTTGTCATTTATAATCATCAGGAATAAACATTTAAAATATATCGGTCTGTGTGTAATGAATTAATATAATATACAAGTTTCACTTTTTGAATGGAATTACTGAAATAAATCAACTTTTTCATGATATTCTAATTTTATGACCAGCACCTGTGTGTGTGTTTGTGTGTGTATAAGGAGGTTAGTGCAGTGAGCAGATTGTGCTGCACATTGAAGTGCTGGAGGCCACACAGCTATAGTGTTTCCTGTCTGCGTGATTGACCACAGTCCTGCGTAGGTGTTTTGTGCGTCTGTGTTCAGTGCATCACTGCTTAAGCGTCCGTATCTGAGAACATTAACTTGGAGGCACAAATAGATTGTGAAGAAAATAATTTCCATATTTTTTTGAAGAGTTGAAACTTGATGAATATGAAGAACTGTTAATAAAATCTCATGTTTTCAGTGTTACGAACAAATCTCTTTTATCTTTAATGTTTTTATCTAGTACACTTTGTCACTTAATTTATAATTTTTTAAATAAAGTTGTAAGTTCCACAATGTCCTTACGGATTTCAGAAACTATAATTTGCATTTGTCATAATTTGCTATATCAGTTGAAAATGTCAGGCTGCTCTCTTATCTTTTCTACACAAAAGTGGTTTTTACTGAGTAATAATTTAAAACATTTAATGCTTATTAGTCTTAACATTATCCAGATTTTGTCCTGTCTTGCAGATGGATCTCAGTGTTGACCAACAGCAAGGAGGAGGCTTTAAACATGGCGTTTCGTGGCGAGCCGAGCAGCGGCGGGGAGGATGGATTAGAGGACTTGACTAAAGCCATCATAGAAGACGTGCTGCACATGCCGGGCAATGAAGTCTGCTGCGACTGCGGAGTGGCAGGTGTGTACTGCTGCTGTCTCTGGGGACGGCGGCCACCTTCACCTTCGGTCTTTGTGGTTTAACTTTGAAAAAACGTTTTATTTAAACACGCAGTCCAGTTCTGCTTGGTCACAGCTTTCTTGAACTCACCACTTAGTTTAACTGCACAAGCTGCACTGTAAATCCCCCTGCAGCCTTCAGTAAACAAGTGCGAGTGCTAAAGCTGTTAGCATTCAAGGCTCAACTCGGTCCTGCTCCTCCCCCTGTGTTAGGAAGCAAAGAGTCAGCTCTCAGGAGTCCCATAGTCTTTGACAGTTAACACATATGTGTACATAAACACAAATACTCTCACTATAAAAACACACCGCAGCTTTTTGGCTGACCAAAGGGAGGATTTGGTATGGTATGGTATGAAGTTTATTCATTTTAAAAAAAGTACAAAACAATTCCATAACAATATATAAAAAGATACAAAAGATTTAAAATGAAAGGCAGCAGAAAGAAGAAAAAATCTTATTATATCTGCCCCTTTTTTCAAACAATTATTTCAGACATATTAATTTTCAAGTAACAGAACAAAATGAATAACTTTCTAATTTTTCTAATTTTAATAAAAAACACACACTAAGCTACTTCATATATACTTTTTTAACAATCTAGATTTGATCTTTTTCTTAAATGTACACATTGACTTGACATTTTTTACATCACTCTCTAGACCATTCCACAATCCAACTCCTTGGATTGAGGTAGACCTTCCCTTCAGACTAGTTCTGAATTTTGGTTTGACAAATATCTCTATCCCCTTAAGATTGTAACAACTTTGTCTTTTAACAAAATTTCTTTGGATATTTAATGGTAATGTGTTATTTTGAGCCCTATACATAACTGATAAAATACTATAATCTACCAAATCATGGAACTTCAATAACTTCAGTTGATGAAATAATGTGCTTGATGGGTGACAGTAATGCTTTCTGGTGATAATTCTTACAGCTCTTTTCTGTAAAATAAAAATAGGTTTTGTAAATGTTTTACACGCTTTCCCCCAAACATCAATGCAATAGATTAAATGTGGAACAATGATTGTGTTATACAACATGTACAGAGCTTTATCATTTAATAATTCCCTGACTTTGTATAGTACTGCAATAGATTTAGATATTTTTGTTCTTACAGAATTTATGTGATTTTTCCATGTTAGCTGTTCATCAATGATTACACCCAAAAATTTCATCTCATTAACTCTACAAATCTCAACACCCTCAATTTTAAATGGATCATCAACAGTTTTCTTTTTGCTACTAAATATCATGTATTTAGTTTTATCTAAATTTAATGATAATTTATTAATTTTAAACCAAGTTTGTATTTTATCAAATTCTGTCTTCATCAGTTCCAACATCCGTTTTACATCTTTACCCAAACAAAAAAATGTGGTGTCATCTGCAAAAAGGACACATTTGAGGAGTCCTGATACATTCACTAAGTCATTCACATATAAAATAAATAACTTTGGTCCAAGTACAGAGCCTTGAGGAACTCCACAAGTGATATTGCACAAGTCAGATCTTACACCATTTATTTGTACAAACTGTTTCCTATCTTTTAAATAGCTAGATACCCAGTGTAATGCTGGTCCTCTTATACCATATTTATTTAATTTTTCAAGGAGAATAGTGTGATCAATAGTATCGAATGCTTTTTTTAAATCAACAAAAATACTAACACAATACTGTTTTTGATCAACAGTAGTAGTTATTTGTTCCATTATTTCCATGAGAGCCATTGATGTAGAGTTTTTTGCTCTAAACCCATACTGACTGTTACTTAGAATGTTTTGTTTAGTAATAAATTTATCTAATCTGGTCACAAACAGTTTTTCTAGAATTTTTGAGAATTGTGGTAATAAGGATATTGGTCTATAATTATTGAACACACATTTATCACCATTTTTAAAGAGAGGAACTACCTTAGCTACTTTCATATTGTCTGGAAATATTCCTTTTGAAAATGATAAATTACAAATATATGTAAACGGCTCGATAACATAACTCATTATGTCCTTTACAAACATCATATCCATGTCCACCCAGTCTTTTGATCTCTTATCTGTAAGATTTTTTACTACATTCATTATTTCTTCTTTGTCAGTTCCATTAAGAAAAATACTGTTGTCACAACTTATAACTGAATGTTTCACATTATTGTCTACTTTTGGTATTTTAGCTGCAAGGTTTGATCCAATGTTCACAAAATGACGATTAAATCCATTTACAATTTCATTTTCATCATGGATTTCATTGTCATCCTTCAAAAAATATTGTGAAATACCTGTTTTTGCTTTATGACTTTTCAGAACACTATTTATTACTCGCCATGTAGCTTTCATATCACCATTGCTTTTATTTAATAAATCACTATAATATTCCTTCTTGTGTTTCCTTATAATCGCTACTAATTTATTTTTATACTTCTTATATTTCTCTTCAGCCTCTTGTGTTCTCAATTTCAAGAAACATGTATACAAATAATTCTTTTTTTTACAAGCGTTTCTCAACCCTTTCGTCATCCATGGTTGGTCAACAACATTTCTCTTTGTACAATTATTTTGCACACAATTCTTTTCATACAGAGCTCCTAAAATATTCATAAACTCATCATATGATCTGTTCACATCATCAACATACACGTCTTTCCAGCTTTGTTTATGTAAATCATCTTTTAATTTGTCCATTGCTTTTTTTGATGTGTTTATTGTTTTTTCCTTAATTGTAATTTCTTTTGTAATGCTTTGATCATTTTTATAAATCATGAAAACTGGTAAATGATCACTCAAATCACTCGTTAAAATACCTCCAATCACATCCCCATTTGTTACATTTGTGAAAATATTATCGATTATTGTAGCACTGTGAGTTGTAATTCTTGTTGGTTTTGATATTAACGGATAAAGATTTAAACTATACAATGAATTTGTAAATGTACTGATGTTATTTGAATCTGTTTTATTTCCCAGGTCAATATTAAAGTCTCCACAGAAAAAAATGCTTTTATTAAAACTCTTGTCCAATAGTTGTACGATTTTATCAGTGAATATTTCTATATTTGATCCTGGAGATCGATATACACAACTTATTAATATGTTTTTATCATTCTTGTTTATTATTTCTATTGTTATTATTTCCATGATATTATCAACAACTATTGACATTTCATTAATTAATTTACATTTTATTTCATTTTTAACAAATAGAGCCACTCCACCACCTCTTTTTTTGCTTCTGTTCACATGATATAATTCATACCCTTCCATGTGAACATTAGTTGTGTTTTCATCGTTGAGCCACGTCTCTGACAGTGCTATTATTGTAAAGGTTCTGTTTAGCTGTTTTAAATAATCTGTTATTTTGGATATATTTGCATTTAAACTTCTACTGTTAAAGTGAATAATAGAGAGACCTCCATTAGTTATATTGATGTCATTAAACTGTTCTTCATTATAATATTCACAGTCTTGTATTTCAGGGAAAAAATTTGTATCAATCACATCTTCAACATTGTATATTTTAAACTCTGAGTCTTCGTATGTTGCCATATTATAATGTATTTGTTTGTTTTATATTTTGATTATTTATTGCTTGTGAAGTTGTGTCAATGATTTATCATCTATCATTTCCTGAGCTTATTTTAGTCTTTCCAGATCTTTCAGGTCTTTTATTATTTTAGCCTGAGATCCTTCCTGTATTTTGATCCAGATGTTTCCATTTCTTGTCCAAGTTGATGCTATTTTTTTCTGTTTTTTCAACCACCTTGCTTCACGTGCAATGTTTCCATTTTTTTTAGTTAGATGTTCATTTATGTAAACATTTGTTCCCTTCAGTTTTTTTGCTTGCATTATTACATGGTTTCTTGATTTCCTGCTAATGAACTTGATGACTATGGATGGTTTGGCTTTATCTGATTTGTTGGGCAGGGTGTGACAGATTGAAATATCCTCATGTTCGATGTCAATGTCTTTGCTTTGTAAAAAATTCACTACTTGCTCCTCCAGAGTCTGTAGTTCTTCCTGTGGTGCATCTTCTGCTGTGTTAGTACCAGCAACAACTCTTGCATACGTTCGGTTCCTAACTTCCAGTCCAGTGATCACCAAGTTGTCTATTTTTGTGTATTGTTCCATGTCGTCAACTTTCTGTTCCAGTTCAGCTATTTTTTTGTCTTTACTAGTCATCAGTTCTTTCAATTGTCTCACTTCTTCAGACAGTCCTGTTAGTAAATCACATTTAGCTGATAATTTAGTCATATTTGCACTCAATTTAGTCACTTCAGCACTCAAAAAGTTCAAAGATTTTTTAACTTCCTCCATATCTTCTGAATTACTTTCCGACACTTGTCTCTTATCTCTGTGTTTGCTCGGCATTACTCACGATACTTCTGGATTATTGGTCTCAACTCTCAGAAGCACAGGATCCAGCCACGAGGTTCACAGGCTAGTGTTGTTAGCTTATGTTGTTAGCTTGTTGTTAGCCGAGGCCTAGCCAAATCTAGTCGAGGACTAGCGACAACAACCTCCAGGTCCCACGATTCACTCGGTCCAGAAGTTCGCAGCCCCAACGGTGACAGACCAGGTCCCGGTTGCAACAGCTCCCAAATCCCACAGCTGTAGTTTAGCTTCTTTGGTTTCCGCGGCTCGCAGGTCCAATCGGCAACGGACCGGGTCTCCGACGTAAACAGCTCGGTTCAGCGGCTCGCAGGTCCAGTCGGGCAGTGGCGGACCGGGTCTCCGACGTAAACAGCTCGGTTCAGCGGCTCGCAGGTCCAACAGCGGCGGACTGGGTCCCCGACGTAAACAGCTCGGTTCAGCGGCTCGCAGGTCCAATCGGAAACGGACCGGGTCTCCGACGTAAGCAGCTCGGTTCAGCGGCTCGCAGGTCCAACAGCGGCGGACCGGGTCTCCGACGTAAAGAGCTAGGTTCAGCGGCTCGCAGGTCCAACAGCGGCGGACTGGGTCCCTGACATAAACAGCTCGGTTCAGCGGCTCGCAGGTCCAGACAGTGGCAGACCGGGTCCCCGACGTGGCGGACCGGGTCCCCGACGTAAACAGCTCGGTTCAGCGGTTCGCAGGTCCAACAGCGGCGGACTGGGTCTCCGCAGGCCTCACTAGCCGAAGCAGCTCTCTGGCCAGCTCGTTAGCCAAACGTTAGCTAAACTCGTGGCTCAGCTTCCACGGTTCAGAGCGCGCGGATTTCCTTCTTCCACCTGTTCTGTATATATATATATCCACATATGTATTATCTATATAGATATATACATACACATATACAGTTGGAGTCAGTTTTGTAAAGTTGGCAAAGTTAGCTAGAGATCGGAGGGAGCATCAGTCAACACCTCCTACTCCATGGGCGCCATCTTGGTTGGTTTCATACTCTGAAGGGAGTAACATACATTTCTAGGCTTGAGAAACCACAACATTACATCACTTTGTTATATAAGTCGCACACGCTCTGTTGACCCCAGCAGTCTGCAGGGAGGAGAGGTAATTTGTCACTTCTTTGTTCCTGTTGCTGCATCCTTCAGTATTCAAGGTTTTATTGGAGAAAGTAATTTCATATATGAACTTGTTTTGATTTTAAACATACATTTATAACTGAATATTTTCAGTGGTGATGCTACTGGGCATTATCTTTAAGTAAAAATAGCTTCACAGGTTGTGACGTTCAAAGGTTTGAAACCTTGTTTCTGCTGGTCTGAGAATAAAGAGGTCATTGTCTCATTTTATATTCACCAAAGAGCTCCCTTTGTATGATTTGCAGCTATAGAGGTCACACAGAAATGTGCTTGTCATGTTTTAACACACTCTTTGTGACCTGCCTTCACCTAGCATCTGGTCAGTGTGCTTGAGTTAGTGTTTTCCTGCTTTGAGTTTTACTCATCTGTTTTTGAGTTTTTTATATATATATATATATATATATTTTTTTTTTTTTTTATTTCCACCGACCTCTACTTGCTGCATAATGTTCGAGCAATCAGCTCAGTTTTAGACTTAAATCTGCCAGATTCGGTTTTGGAACCCATGTGATGTTAACGTGCAATAATACACTTGTTTCACCAGCTAAAGTATTCTGACTAAAGATTTAGTCTTAATTGACCTAAATCTAGTTTCTACTGTAGACGATAGAATAATTCAGACAGCTAAATGTAGAACAAACTGGATTTTGTTCTTCTTTGCAGACCCTAAGTGGTTGTCCACCAACCTGGGGATCCTCACCTGCATCGAATGCTCCGGCATTCACAGAGAAATGGGAGTTCACATTTCACGTATCCAGTCTATGGAGCTTGACAAGTTAGGAACCTCAGAACTCTTGGTGAGCTACACAAATACTTTGCCAAATTAAAAAATATCCCGGTTTGCTCTACAATATCTCTAATGTTTGTATACTATTCACTGTATTTCACAATACAATTTAATATTCATTACTGTATTTTTTAATCAGCTTTATTAATGTAAAGTAGTCCCTTGCTACTTTGCGGTTTGTTTATCGCGGATTCGCTCTTTTGTGGTTTTTCAAAATAAGATAGGACATGACACACAATTGGCTGATTGCTGGATGACCAGCATTGAATTTTTATTTAAAATAAATTATTTTAAATTATTTAGCACCTGTGTGCAGCCCAGAGCTGCAGAAAAAGCTTCCTCCTGCAGCTGAACAGCTGATCAGCTGTTCTCCATACAGAGCAGAGAAGTGGGCGTGGCCGAGAGCTCATGCAGGTGGCTGAGAGCAGCAGAGGCACAGAGAGGGAAATCATGACATTCTGTGCAAGAGTGTGGGAAGGGTTTAAAACGCCTTTATGTATATATATATATATATATATGTATATGTATACTGAAATAAACTACTACTTACTACTTGTACTACTATCCCTACTTCGTGGTTTTTCACTTATCGCGGGTCTTCAGGGTACGGCTCCCCCGCGATAAACGAGGAACTAATATATATATATTTATATTTAAATTGTCTACATTTCTGTGTGTGTTTGTATGTCTGTTAGCAAAATATCTCATTAACTAGTTAAGCAATTTATTGAAATTTTAGAAAATTATTTTTGCATGTGCATTTGCATCCTTTTACTTTTGGGAGTCAACTTGATTCAAGAATCTTCCACGTCTAAACAGCTTTCATAAACATACAGCTGGTTATACAGTAGTTCCTCGATTATCGCGGGGGTTACATTCCGGATACCCCCTCAATAAATGAAAATCTGCAAAGTAGAAACGTTGTATTCATTTTATTATTTATATATTTTTGAAGGCTTTATAAATCCTTCCTACACTCTTTGAATGTTCTAAACTTTTAAACCTGCGTACTTTTAACAACATACATATATATTCTGCACAGTACTACAAAATTTTATATGGGGACTCACCAGCCTTGGTCTGGTTCGGGTCCAGTTCTGATCGGCTCTCTGCAGCCATTGAGCACCAGATGCTTTTGGAGAGAGCCGGACCTTTGGAGAGCCAGCACAAAACCACACGTTCCCTATCGAGTCCAAATAATCCAGAGTGATCGGGATGAAGAAAGTCTGGGTGAGCTCTGGAGAAGACACCGGACCTCCAAGCAACGCCTCACCGCTCGAGAGGCTTCTTGGGCCAGCAAACAGCTGTGATTGACCGATGAGGCTGGAAGTAGTTCTGGTCTGGTTCTGATAGGCGCTCTGCATCCACTGAGCGCTGAAGTCACTTTGGATAAAGACTGAACTTTTTATTCAGGTTCGGATCAGATCGAAACTTTCCCTCCATTTCAGTAGAAAGCAGCGTCCGGATGCACTGTTGGCTTCTGGGAAATGTATTTATTTTATACTGGCGATACAGTGTAGGCTTATTGAAAGAAAACTACAAAATGGCGGCGCCTGTCCGAAGTTTTTTTCTGTTAACGTTTTATCTGTATCCTCCCAATCACGTGAGTAATATTAAAGTTGACAATCATTGAAAAAACGCGAAAGCGCGAGTCCGCGCAAGTCGAATCGTGAAGTAGCGAGGGACGACTGTAACTCAGTAATTTTTACAGATATTAAACGAAAACTTGGTATGGGGATAGCGGAGAGACATCCCCGGCACATAATTTGAGCACAGATTACGAGAGATCTTTGTTTAAAACTTTTACTTGTAAGGGAGTGGGCAATATGCATTCTTTCAAGGAATGCTGGTTTTTAATTATAAATTTTCCAATAAACACACACACACACTCGCATACGAGGGACAAACGATGAATAAACAGAAAAATTGAGCAGAATTTAAAGCTGAACAAAACTGGATTTTCCAGAACTTCTGTATGTTCCTTCTTGTAATATTAATATTATCACATGTTTTTGTCTTTCTCTGCCAGCTGGCCAAGAACATAGGAAACAGTAGTTTCAATGAAATCATGGAGGCGAACCTTTCCTCCCCTTCACCAAAGCCCAATCCCTCCAGTGATATGTAAGCACACCAGATTTCATAGCAAACATCTGCCTTCTCTGGAAACGCTTTTTAAAATGTTATTTTATCTCCCACAGGACGGTGAGGAAGGAGTTCATCAACGCTAAGTATGTGGACCACAAGTATGCGAAGAAGACGTGCACGTCTGCGGCTGCTAAGATGATCGAGCTGTTCGAGGCAGTCCAGTCCCGAGACCTGCTGGCTCTGGTTCAGGTCTACGCAGAGGGGGTGGAGCTTATGGAGCCACTCCCTGAAACCGGACCGGTGAGTGAAACCTCTCATGCAGAGATTTAATGCTCTCCTTCAGCTAAAATAAATAATTAAATTCTGTTTGTTTGTTTAACCTCAGATTTAATCAACTTTGAGTCCACGTTTCTATGCAGTCAGTTTTAGCCAAGCAGCAAAAATTAAATCAGATTTTTTTTTTTTTTTTTTGTAAAAAAGGCCAAAAAGTCATGCAGTTGTATTTTTTTCTTTCTGTAAGGAGTAATATTTAGATTTAGACATTTCAAGTTTCAAAACTAGCATAACAGAAAATCTAAAATAAAGGCCATACTGTCAAAAAAAATAAAAGTACAAATAAATATTTCTGACCGTGGCAATTATGGAAGATTAATCTTTTGACACTTTTAATCAAACACAACTGCAGATCTTGATACTTCGTCTGAAAATATTCCTGGAATTTGTGCACCATGTGAAATCGTCTTTTAATCTCTAAATGCACAGTAGAACAATTGAGGACGTATTCGGATTATCGAGCAAACTAGTGCAAGGAGTCCACATGGTAGAGTCCAGTTCTGTGTGGGTGAGGTTCCAAGAAATTGAAATACAACCAACTTATTTCAGTAACAGCAAAAATAGTTTCACAAGAATCTGCACATTTTGGCTGTGCGTTGAGCCAACCAAACGTACGAGTGATCAGAATCTGGTAGTTTATGTTTAAGGAGAGGTCTGTTCAGGGAAAACATTTTAGATTTTTTTTGTGTGTGTGTTGACTTAAAAAAAAAAAACATTTTTAATGAAGCCTACATTGTACTAATGTTCAGCCTAAAAACTCAAAAGAATTCGAGATGAGCCTTTGTTGTGTCGGCACAGTGCTTCTTTGTCAAATCTGTTAACATTTGTTACCAAAGACTGCACGCACGGTCATAGTCTCGTTGAAAGCAAAATAAAAAGAAATGAGTTGTAGACCATTTCCTCTGCTCGGTTAAGAATAATGTGTCTTGGCAGCCATGATGACGATGTCTTCATTTACTATTCCAGTTAAATTACCACTAATGGAGAAAGTCTTCCTTCACACTCCTCTCATTGTGTCTCCTCTGACAGCAACTTATGGCCATGTTACACTTTAAATTTGTGTAATTGGCAGAGAATTGCCTGCTGAAAAGCTTTAGCTGGTATTAATTTATACAAGCTACATTTTTACATTTTAGAAAGGAAACCATCACCTTTCAGACACTGCAGGCAGATGAATCTTCTTCTAACAAACACTAAACTGTAGCTCTGTAAAAGCTCCTTTTAGGTTGTTGCTTTATTTTTTTTCATGTTTGTTTGAAGTTTATTCTCATTGAAACAACCAAAAAATATCACTTTCCTGAAAGAAATAGTCTGAGTCATTTGAACAACTTCACCCTAAGGTGCTGAAATCCTGTAACCTTCCGCCATAAACCATAGCAACATCAGTGTTAATTTAATATTTAATCGTCTTTGTGTCTTCTGCCTTTTTGAATCGCCGCTTTAGGCTTGAATTAAAGTTAAACGAGAAAAGTTGCATTTCCTGTGAAAATGCAGTGTGAATGTTTATTGCAGAAGAATTTGCGGAAAAACAGCTGAAATTAGCAACAAACAAAAACATGCTGAGACGGTAGTTGAAAATGTAGACCAATGGAAATCAGCAGGAGAAAGCAGAAAGAACACAAGTTGAGATGAGTGCAAAAAATGTGGTGTTAGCTGAAAAAGCTCATATTAGCATAAAATAGCTAAATAGTAGCTGAAATAACTGAAACTAGCAGAAATAAGCTGAAAGGAGCATAAGTTGAAATTAGTATAAATAATTTAATTAGGCTGAAAGTAGCAGAGATTATCACAAAAAAAACTTGAATTTATCTGAAAACAGCAGAAATTAGCTAAAATATGTGTGTGTGTGTGTGTGGGGGGAGCTAGCTGAAAAGTTAAAGCAAACTTAAATTAGCAGAAGAAAACAGAAAGAACATGTTTGCCCAATTAGTCCAAAAGAAGCAGAAATGAGCACAAAAAAGTGGACATTGTCTGAAAACAACTGAAATGAGCTAAAATATGCTAAAAAAAAGAGTTAGCTGAATAGTTGGAACAAACTTAAATTAGCATAAAAAAGCAGAAAGAACATGTTTGCCCAATTATGCCGAAAGAACCAGAAGTGAGCACAAAAAGTGGAAACATCTTGAAAAACACTGAAATTAGCATAAAACCAGCTGAAAGTACCAGTAGCTAAAAAGCAGAAAGAAGCCGAAATTACCTGAAGGAAGTGGAGAGAGCGCATATTTGCTGAATTAGGCTGAAAACAGTTGTAGTGAGTGCAACAAAAGTGGAATTAGCTGAAAAAAAGCTAAAATTAGCATGAAAACAGCTAAATAGTAGCGGAAATAGCAGAAGAAGCTGAACCTTGCATACATAAGATGAAATTAGCATAACAAGCTGAAATTAGCAGAATGAAGCTAGAAGAAGCACAAAAATTTTATAATTAGCAGAAAGAATCTAAAAGGAGCACAAAACAGCTGAAAGTAGCTGGAAATAAAGTTTAAATATGCACAGCTGAAAGAAGCTGAACCAGAACAACATGTGAAAGGAGCAGTAAAAGGTTGTAAACAGATCTAAAGATATGAAGGATGTAAAATGAGCTCAATTCATTTCCTATTAGAAAAAAAAGTTGCAGAAAAGGCTAAATATTTAAAAAAGCTAAAGTTGCACCAATACCCAAAGTCATAGCAGGATTATCCTGAAAGAAATGAACGTTTTGATTTATGATTTGTTGAAATAGCACAAGCACTGTGGAACGAGAAAGATGCTGAAAAATGTACGGAATAAAAATGGATCACAATAGTGTGAAAAAAACATTCATAAAATAAAATAACGAGCGGAGGACGCTGAAGACGCTGCACCGTAAACAACACACACGATTAGACTCAATCTGACGTAAGCAGGTCAGGGTTTTAGGTAAATATCCAACAGAAAAAAAAGGTGCACCAGGCTGCAGCAGAGTAAAAGGATAAGAGAGGATATTATGTGGTGATAGAGAGAACTGCTGCTGTTGTCTGCACCATGAAGTCTGACTCACCAGTATCTGATCTGCTGCTGTCAGTGCCTCTGAATGGCTGCAGAGTGACATCTAAACCAACACACAGCACAACTGAATCCTTATATTAACCTTTAAGAGAAGTCAAACGCAAATGTTTTAGTCTCTAACTCTGATTGTGCTTTAACCTCCTAGGACCTGACATCCACATATGCAAGAGTCCGGCTCTTAGGAGGTTAAATATGGAAGAAGAAGAAAAACATCTCAGTACTTACAGTCTCCCAAAAATGGCAACAACAAAAAAACTGCGTCAAGAGTGCAGATTTTTATTTTTAGGAGCCATTTTGTTTACTGCAGTTTGTTTAAATGCTGACAACACACACGTGCACAAAGAATAGAATAGAATACAGAATAGCTGCCCAGTCTCTCAGCATGCTGTGTTTGATGACCCCCTGCAGGAAGCCGGGGAGACAGCACTACACTACGCAGTACGGACAGCTGACCAGACCTCACTGCATTTGGTGGACTTCCTTGTCCAGAACAGGTAAAGACCATTTCTGCTTAAAAACTTAGGAATATTATGCATCACATTTACCTGTGTGAAAGCAGTGGAAGTGTCCTAAAACACATGATTTAAAAGGAACACGGTGTAGAAAAAGGCATAGTTGAATTTGATGTTTTCTGCAGTAAAGCACTGAGGAGCAGAGGTAGGCTTAGCTCTGCACGGCTCAGATTCCCACAAGGCAAACGGAAATGGGTCAAGCTCTCTGCTTTAATTTATTCCCTTCTTTTCAATTGTTTATCCACCACCACTCCAACAGCCCCCACAGAAAGAAGCAGGACTCTTTTATTAATTAATGACCACACTTTTACACTTACTGCTTATTCAAAATGATATAACTGACTTTTAAAGCATGTCTTCTTTTTAGTTTTCTTTTTTTTAGGATTAATGTTTTACTCACAAAATGTTGTCTTGTTACACATCAGAGCACCACAGGGCTGCAGTAGCGATGGTCAGTGCCGTGGGAATATAATCCTGAGGCTGCAGGGTCAAAGAATTGTCAAATCTTTCATGTGGGTTTGCTGGTTGTGACGAACGCTGCAGAAGGGAGAAGCTAAAAGGAAATTAAAAACTACATGTTTGAGCAGCATATAACCTTTTCCAACCCAATCTTGTTGAAAACACAATAACCTAAACCCATAGGCCTGTGGAGCACACCTCCAGGTTTCCTGACCATATGATGTGTTTTTTTCTGCAGTGGTAACTTGGATAAGCAGACGGAGTGGGGGAACACCGCCCTGCATTACTGCTGCATGTACGAAAAGCCTGAGTGCCTCAAGTTACTCTTGAGGGGCAAACCGGCCACCGACATCAGTGAGTCAGGGTTCATCCTCTCATTTATATCTTCTGTACAACGCTTCAGACTCTAAGTGTTGATTTTTTTTTCCCTCTCTCCCTTCCTCACACTTCAGCCAATCAGAACGGAGAGACGGCTCTGGATGTTGCCAGGCGACTGAGGAACAGTCAGTGTGAGGAGGCAGTAAGTACAGGAGCCAACCGGCTGGATCTGCTGAACGTTAGAGCAGAAAATTAATGCTCTGGTTAAAGCCCTGAAAAATACAAGGAAACAGTGCATGTTAGATGAAACAAACCAGTGCATTCAGTACATTAAAGAATTATGTTGAGCAAATATTGAGTCAGAACACTAGATGGCAGTCAAACATGTCTCCAGCCTCAGGCGACATGAACGCTCAAGTGGAAGAAATTGTTCACGAGTGTGTATTATTAACGCAATCATGAACAAGCAGACATAAAAAGCAAAAATAACTGCAGTTTGTAATCTTTAATATATATAAATTGGCACATTTGAACCTCAATTTCTCCTTTTATGAACTGGTAAGATCCAGGAAATGGAACGATGATGTATTGAACTTGAATTTGTCGTGTTGGTTTGGTTGTGATGCGGTTCTGTTTGTGTCAGCTTGTGCAGGCTGCAGAGGGGAAGTTCAACCCTCACATCCACGTGGAGTACGAGTGGAGCCTCAGACTGGAGGAGATGGACGAGAGCGATGACGACCTGGATGATAAGGTGCTGACACGCTGTATTTGTAGTTGTCTTGTAGCAGTTCTTATGATGCTCTGTTTAATGTCAACCCATTAATCTCATCGCGTACGTGTTGCTCTGCAGCCCAGTCCCATCAAGAAGGACCGCTCCCCGAGGCCTCAGAGCTTCTGCCACTCCTCCAGCCTCTCCCCCCACGACAAGCTCTCCCTGCCGGGCTTCATCAGCCAGCGAGACAAGCAGCAGCGGCTCTCCTACAGCGCCTTTACCAACCAGATTTACAGTGCCTCCACCGACCTCAGCTCCTCCCCTGTGGCTGACGGGCCGCCGCTTCCACCCAGGAACCAGGGCAAAGGTCAGACATGGCTGCTCCAGAATCTTTCACGTCCATTTCCCGACAATCCTAGACTTTATCAACCTGTAACATCCAAATTCAGGATATTATGCTATGCTGATATTGCTTTTGCAAATGTGACCCAGTACAGAATTATTTACAGATTGTGTGCCTCCTCTACTTTGTTTGATTATCATAGACCGAACATAGGCTTCAGTATGTCTGTTAATATTTATCCTACAGCTAAATGCATCATGATCACTTCAGTGGAAAGTTTCCTGCTTGTGCTGCCAGTCTCACACACACACATACACACCCTGCAGTGGTATGCAATTTGTCAGCACTCAGATCAGAGGGCGGAAGAAGGTGTCATTAGGTAACTTCTAAAGTAAACCTAAAGGAAAAACATGGCCGCAGGAGAAGGCAGGGTGCGACAGGGAAGCTGCATGCACACTTCATCATTAGTCTGTGTGTACACACACACACAGAGAAATGACTGGGCGTGCTGTCTCTGCAAGATTGCAATTAAAAATAACAATCCAGCCTCTGCTGATCTGACACAACCTTAACCATTTATCAAACATGACTGAGAAGGCTGCTGAAGTTCACGTTACAACATCTCTCCTAACATTTAATCCCTTATTTCAACATTAAAGTTGAATGTTTTTAGCTTAAGCTGTGAAACTGAACTTGTTTATAACCTACAGAGCATTTAATAACTGACTTTTATCGAAGGGTTTGGTTACAGATGCTAAGATTGTTCAAATTTCTGTTTTAGCGCTGCACGTACAAGTTTAGTTATAATAAAAGTGATATATTTCACATTAAATTTCTTTGTGCAAGTTTACTAAGGTAGTGTTTATTTCTAAAAGCAGTTACCGTATTTTTCGCCCTATAAGTCGCGGTTTTGTGCATAATTTTTATGCCCTGCAACTTATATGCTGAAGCGACGCATTTATCAATTTTTTTTCCCCCCATATTTATAAACCGATTTTTGGCTGAGATATGATTAATTCATTCTGACTGAAAAAATTGAACACTACCATTTTCAGCCACTAGATGGCACTCGAGTAGTAAGGCATGCCGTTGTATCATGTATACTTTGTTGTGGCTATTAATGACAAATTCAAAAAATTCAAGACAAAAACAACTTGACTTTATTTGGTATACTTTACTTTATACTTTGTTTTTGTCTTGAACTTTGTTGAATTTACCATGTCCTAGATGACTTGAGAATCTTGACACAATCGGCTTGCTGTATCCCGCCACCTTCGTTCGGCTCGTTGCTTGGAGCAACCATCAAACCAGCTTCATTTTGCTGCACCGCCACGGTGAAATGCAGCTGATTTGACCATTGAAGTGTATGTATTAATTAAAAGTTCAACTCAGACACACCTTTGCTATAATTTCGAATAAACAAATAATTATTTTAGGTGCTTTTCTTGTTAAATTTCAAAGAAATGCACAATGGCTCGTCCCTCTGTGCGTGCCCACTTCTGCAAATTGGGTTTTGAAATGCAGCTAAATTGATCGTCAAAGTGCATTTATTAAGCAAAAGTTAGACTGAGACACACATTTACTATATTTTTGAGCAAACAAATAATTGTTTTTAAGTGTTAATCTTGTTAAATTCTTGTTAAAGTCCTCCCATACACGCCCCAGCGGTTGCTATTTGGCAGCCAATCGATTTTTGGCACAACACCGCCCCACATTTCTGGGTCGTCAGCGTTGACATGTAACAAACGCAACACGTCAGCGGTGATGCATAATAGATGCGACATATACGGCGAAACTACATATTTATAGATTTTTCCACTTTATTAGACATATTTGTACTGATGCGACTTATAGGGAGGAGCAACGTTTACGGCGGAAAATACGGTACTCTTTGTGTGTGAATGTTTCAGCCTTGAATTTGTATTTTAAGAAGCAGAACAAAAAACGAGTGTAGAAACTACCTATGAGTCATTCTTAGTATAACCCTGTCTAACGTGCGCACAGAGAGGTCTACAGTTGAAAAATCTATCAATTTAGTTCCTGACCGATATAAACGCAAAGCTTCTGGGTTGTTTTCTTTTTTTTTTTTTGGCAGTTTTGATTGACAATATAGGAAATAAACATCAAGTTTTTTGTTGAATGTACATTTCTGGTTATTTTAAGTGATTTTTGCTGACTGAACGGATACGTCCATGCATTTAAAACATTCTAACTCCTGATGCTCGCTCTCTTTGCACCGTTTCTCTTCGTTTTCTTCCTTTCTTTGTCACTGATAAGATTTCATCTTTGTTATTTTCCAGTGTGTGGGAGCAACTCTTTATAAGACCGACTTGCTTGGAAGATTCTCTCCCACACTCCTCATCTTCGCTCTGTTTTCTTTCTCTTTTTTTGTTTTTGTTTTGTTTCTCTATTCTTTCAGCTCCACACTTGGCATTCCTTGGCTCTCATTCGCACTACGCCACTCTGGCTGGCACTCGACCATACATCAGTGAATATCTTGTTTTACGTTCTCCCCCTTTTCTCCCTCAGTTGTTTTCATCCTTTACAGCTCTGATGTACGAGGTCATAGCATCATTTTGACTTAAAGGTTATACTTCAGAGGTTTTGAAGTGTCGAAATGTTGAACAATTATCTTACCTGTTTTAGATAGCACTTTGAACAAACTCCGTTGGGAGTCAATTCCGATCAGACTGATGAGCTAGTAGACTAAAGCGAACCACTACAGTCTTAAAACAACTCCAATCTCAATACTATTGTGCAGGTCTATTGAAAAGCTGCTACCATATTTTTCGGACTATATAAGGCGCACCGGATTATAAGGTACAATATCAACGAATGGGTCTGTTTTCATACATAAGGTGCATTAAGCGAAACAAAACAGTCAGATAAGTCAAACTTTATTCAACTCGATCACAATAACTCTCAGTATTGTTCAGTTGTACCACATAAAGTCTGTTCGAAGTCAGTAAGCCCAACCAGAATTGATACATAAGGCGCACTGGGTTATAAGGCTCACTGTCGGTTTTTGAGAAAATTAAAGGATTTTAAGTGTGCCTTATAATCCAAAAAATACAGTATTTGAACTTCATTTGCCTCATTTTTTATTACAAAATTATGAAATTACCAAGTATTTGCCAGCTCTAGTGGTAGCCTGTCATGATAGCAAATTTTGCTGAGCAATTAATTGTCTCAGAAATTATTGCGATAAACAATAATATTGTTTGAAATTTGACAATAATTAGTAATTGTCAAATTTAAAAATAAATATTTAATTTGTTTTACATGTAGTACCTTTTTTCGACCACCAGATGGCAATATAAGACAGTTTGAACTGAAGGATGGGTAGTGAGGAAGTGAGCAGCGTGTCTCTTTAAGAAAAATGAGAGGGAGGCCCCTTGACGTGACATGGGCTGTCTCTCTTAAGTTCTCAAAATGGCAGACGCTCGGTGTGGTTTGAGCTGTTTAGCATAGCATTTTTCACACAAAGCTTTTAATAAAAAAATCAGTAAACAAGTTCTCATCTTCTTTTTGCAGAGAAAAACAACTTTTTAGACAAAGGCACGGGTTTCAACTGTGAATTTTGGAGCTTCGACAAGACAAAGGTTTTATCCTGAGGTCGGCCCGTTAGCTTAGCTCGTAGCTTAGCTTCTCAGCTTAGCTGCTTTTAACGATCCAAAAACGCGATTTTGGATTATTTAAACAGGTTTTAAAGAGAATGGGAGGGGTCAGTGGCGCACCAGAGTTGAACCTTTTGTCATCCAGTGTCTTCAGAAAGAGAGAGACAAGAGAAGAAACAATAAAGGCGATAAATGAAAATGATGTTGATAATCTTCATTTATAATGCGATTAATTGATTTATGGTTTATTACGCCAGGCCTATCTATGGTAGTTGTAGCAGCAGCACTTCCAGTGTAAACTGACGCTCTTCTTGCAGGAATATCAAATTTTTTCTGCTGGAATAATCAACTTAAAGGTTAAAAAAATGGTTGAACCACTGTATGAGTTTTATTTTGTTTTTGTTTTTTAGATAAGATGGATTCATTTTAGTCACGGTCCTGCTTGAACTAACTATTAGCTCTTCAGTCTGGTCAGAATTAACTAATTTTATTCAGATAGCTACAGTATCTGCAACAGGTAAGCCATTATCTGTTCATAACCTTTCCACTTCAAAAGATCTGAACCATTCCTTTATTACCTGGACCATGTAGGATAATTAATTATTGTTGGCCTACGTGATTTATAAATTGTTCTGGAATGATTTTCTGCCATCGTTGAGCTGTAAACTCTTAACCACAGCTGACTCCTCTCTGGCTGAGCTCTCTAGTTGCTGCTTTCATCATACTCTTCTCTACGTTAGTAACCAGCGAGTGCTTTAGGGTCTCTGTAGATTTAGGAAGACGTTATCAAGAAAATAAACACCAGAAACATGCCTGCACCCCAAGTCATTGTGTGTTTGTTTCTTTATTTATCTGTTATTTTCTGTTTATATATATTTTTTAATTTATTCATTAATTTGGGGGGGTTGACCTCATCACCTCATGTGTCTTTATGTATCACTCCTCCAGCTCCTCCCCCATCCGGCCCTCCCTCCACACTCACACCAGGAGTCAGCTCCACCCTGTCCAAGAAGAGACCTCCGCCCCCTCCTCCTGGACACAAACGCACCCTGTCTGACCCACCCAGCTCGCTCTCTCACAGCCCGCACAGTAAAGGGGGCTTAACCGGGGGTGAGACAACAAGCACACGTAAACAGATGGGCTGGTTCGCTCCGGGCTTTTCTCCAACTTTATGATAAAGAACCAGGATTAACCAAAGATGAACAAAACTTTTAATTAAATTAAGTTCCTTTTTGTAGAGCAACACGTCATTTTATTATGTGTGATTCTGAATGTAAACCAGTGTATAATGATAATTTTAATAAAAACACCAAAACATTTAGAAAGGCAGCAAAATCCAATTTTATATATTTTAGACCTTTTTGGGTAATATTTTAATAAATCTTTATAATTGGCAAATCGTTTAATAACTAGTCAGTTAAGCTCTTAACAATTGCTACATGCAGATGTTGTAAGACTACAGGTGCTGGTCATAAAATTAGAATATCATGAAAAAGTTGATTTATTTCAGTAATTCCATTCAAAAAGTGGAACTTGTATATTATATTCATTCATTACACACAGACCGATTTATTTGAAATGTTTATTTCTTTTAATGTTGATGATTATAAATGACAACTAAAGAAAACTCCAGTATCTCAGAAAATTAGAATATTACTTAAAACCAATAAAAAAAATTTTTTAAAGATTTTTAGAAATGTTGGCCAAATGAAAAGTATTAACATGAAAAGTATGAGCATGCACAACATCAATACTAAGTTGGGGCTCCTTTTGCCTGGATTTTTTATTTTTTTATATATACCTTTATTTTCCCAGGAAGAAATTCATTGAGATCATCAATCTCTTTTACAAGGATGTCCTGGATTACTGCAGCAATGCAGCGTGACATGGAGTCGATCAGTCTGTGACACTGCTCAGGTGTTATGAGAGCCCAGGTTGCTCTGATAGTGGCCTTCAGCTCTTCTGAATTGTTGGGTCTGGTGTATCACATCTTCCTCTTCACAATACTCCATAGATTTTCTATGAGGTTAAGGTCAGGCGAGTTTACTGGCCAATTAAGAACATGGATACCATGGTCCTTAAACCAGGTACTGGTAGCTTTGGCACTGTGTGCAGGCGCCAAGTCCTGTTGGAAAATTAAATCTGCATCTTCATAAAGTTGTTCAGCAGCAGGAAGCATGAAGTGCTCTAAACCTTCCTGTTAGATGATTGTGTTGACCTTGGACTTCAGAAAACACAGTGGACCAACACCAGCAGATGACATGGCACCCCAAACCATCACTGTCTGTGGAAACTTGAGACTGGACCTCAAGCAACATGGATTCTGTGCCTCCTCTCTTCCTCCAGACTCTGGGACCTTGATTTCCAAAGGAAATGCAAAATTTACTTTCATCAGAGAACATAACTTTGGACCACTCTGCACCAGTTCCAGGAGAGACGCTTCTGAAGTGGCTTGACACAAGGAATGTGACAGCTGAAACCCATGTCTTGCATACAGTGGGGAGAACAAGTATTTGATACACTGTTGATTTTTCAGGTTTTCCCACTTGCAAAGCTTGTAGATGACTGTAATTTTTATCATAGGTACTCTTCAACTGTGAGTGATGGAATCTAAAACAAAAATCCAGAAAAACACAATGTATGATTTTTAAATAATTAATTTCCATTTTATTGTGTGAAATAAGTATTTGATCATCTATCAACCAGTAAGAATTTTGGCTCTCACAGACATGTTAGTTCTTCTTTAAGAAGCCCTCCTGTTCTCCACCCATTACCTGTATTAACTGCACCGGTTTGGACTCGTGACCTGTATAAAAGACACCTGTCCACACACTCAATCAATCAGACTCCAGCATCTCCACAATGCCCAAGACCAGAGAGCTGTGTAAGGACATCAGGGATAAAATTGTAGACCTGCACAAGGCTGGGATGGGCTACAGGACAATAGGCAAGCAGCTTGGTGAGAAGGCAACAACAGTTGGTGCAATTATTAGAAAATGGAAGAAATACAAAATAACGGAAAATCTCCCTCGGTCTGGGGCGCCATGCAAGATCTCACCTCGTGGAGCATCATTGATCTTGAGGAAGGTGAGGAATGAGCCCAGAACTACACGGCAGGACCTGGTCAATGACCTGAATAGAGCTGGGACCACAGTCTCAAAGAAAACAATCAGTAACACTCTACGCCGTCAAGGATTAAAATCCTGCAGTGCACGCAAGGTGCCCTTCCTCAAGCCAACGCATGTCAAAGCTCGTCTGAAGTTTGCAAATGACCATCTGAATGATCCAGAGGAGGAATGGGAGAAGGTCATGTGGTCTGATGAGACAAAAAGAGAACTTTTTGGTTTAAACTCCACTCGTCATGTTTGGAGGAAGAAGAATGATGAGTACAACCCCAAGAACACCATCCCAACCGTGAAGCATGGCGGTGGAAACATCATTCTTTGGGGATGCTTTTCTGCAAAGGGGACAGGACGACTGCACCATATTGTGGGAAGGATGGATGTGGCCATGTATCGTGAGATTTTGGCCAACAACCTCCTTCTCTCAGTAAGAGCACTGAAGATGGGTCGTGGCTGGGTCTTCCAGCATGATAACGACCCAAAACACACAGCCAGGGCAACTAAAGAGTGGCTCCGTAGGAAACATCTTAAGGTCCTGGAGTGGCCTAGCCAGTCTCCAGACCTGAATCCCATAGAAAATCTTTGGAGGGAGCTTAAAGTCCGTGTGGCCCAGCGACAGCCCCGAAACCTGAAGGCTCTGGAGGAGATCTGTATGGAGGAGTGGGCCAAAATCCCTGCTGCAGTGTGTGCAAACCTGGTCAAGAACTACAGGAAACGTCTGATCTCTTTAATTGCAAACAAAGGTTTCTGTACCAAATATTAAGTTTCATTTTTCTGGTGTATCAAATACTTATTTCACACAATAAAATGGAAATTAATTATTTAAAAATCATACATTGTATTTTTCTGGATTTTTGTTTTAGATTCCATCACTCACAATTGAAGAGTACCTATGATAAAAATTACAGTCATCGACAAGCTTTGCAAGTGGGAAAACCTGAAAAATCAACAGTGTATCAAATACTTGTTTTCCCCACTGTATGTCTGTGCGTGGTGGTTTTTGAATCACTGACTCCAGCTGCAGTCCACTCTGTGTGAATCTCCCCCACATTTTGGAATGGTTTTTGTTTCACCATCCTCTCCAAGGTGCAGTTATCCATATTGCTTGTACCACATAGTTTCCATCCCTTTGCCTCTCTATTAATGTGCTTGGACACAGAGCTCTGTGAACAGCCAGCCTCTTTAGCAAAGTCCTTTTGTGTCTTGCCCTCCTTGTGCAAGATGTCAGTGGTCGTCTTTTGGACAACTTTCAAGTCAGCAGTCTTCCCCATGATTGTGTAGCCTACAGAACCAGACTGAGAGAAGCACTTTGCAGGTGTTTTGAATTAATTAGCTGATTAGAGTGTGGCATCAGGTGTCCTGTGTTGAACCTTTTCACAATATTCTAATTTTCTGAGACACTGAATTTGGGTTTTCATTAATTTTCAGTTATAATCATCAACATTAAAAGAAATAAACATTTGAAATATATCAGCATGTGTGTAATGAATTAATATAAGATACAAGTTTCACTTTTTGAATGGAATTACTGAAATAAACCAACTTTTTCATGGTATTCTAATTTTATGACCAGTACCTGTATAACATGGCTAAATTATTTGCCTTATAATTCTAATTCTAATTCTAATTCACTTTTCTTGGAGGTGGTTAATCGCACTAACACACCACATAAAACAAATCAATCAAATTACCCCCCCCCCCCCATTTTTTTTAAATGCGTTTCCTTGCAGTTATGTCTTTTTTATTGCATTTTCTTATCAATCTTCTTGTGTCCCACCTATGTCAACATCCGACCACAAAATACCGTAAATAACAGCACTTTTAAATCTGAGAGTAAATAAGAAGAGTTTATGGAGAGCTCAGCCAGATGACGTCTCCCTCATTGTTTAATTTAACCATCCACCGCATGTCAATTTATTTTCACATTTATACCAAATTTATTCCTTTATTATTCCTCTGGTGTGGCGCTAAGTGACACGTTTGTTGTTGCCGATGTTGATATTTTAGGAAGTGACTCTACCCCTCCTCCAGCCACTAAGATGTCTCCTGTTTCCAACAAGTTTGAAGGCATTCCTCAGCAGCAAAGGTAACAGCAGGAACTCACCAAGGTCGTTTCTGTGTTAAAGGTTTCTGCTCATAATTGTAAAAATGTTTTGCTTTTGAGATGACGCAGGTGTTTTCATGTTTGAGTACATCTAAAAATGTTTTTTTCCAGCACTACTTCAAGCAACACGAAGTCTACACTTGGTCCAAGAGTTCTTCCCAAACTACCTCAGAAAGGTACGGGTTCAGTCACATTGTTTAATATGAAACGTTGCTCACGTGTTTTTTCATGACTCTGCGTGGTTTCTCCAGTGGCACTGCGCAAGATCGACACCATTCACCACCCGTCTGTGGATAAGCCCAGCCTTCCTCCAGAGGTCTTCCAGAAGTCCCCCCCGCCAACTGAAACCACTCATAAGACTCCTCTGGCAGACAGGCCTCAGCTGGGCGATCTGCCCCCCAAACCGCAGGTGTCTGAACTCCCCCCAAAACCTGGAGAGCTCCCCCCGAAGCCGCAGCTCTCCGACCTCCCTCCAAAACCTCAACTGGGAGACCTTCCACCAAAACCGCAGCTCAAAGATCTCCCTCCCAAACCTCATCTCGCTGACATCCCCCCTAAACCAGGAACAGTGGAGTCCACCCCCAGGCCACCTCCTGCAGATTCATCTCAGAGGCCTCAAACACAGCCTCCACCTCCTCCGCCTCAAGCTCAGCCTCAGCCTCAAGACTCGCCGTCACCTAATCAACCTCCCACTATAGTGACTCCAACTACACAGCAACCAGTCGAGGACACCAACGGGACCCCCCCAGGCACCACTGAGACTCCAGTGCCCCTACCAAGAAAGATCAACACTGTATGGATATACCAGTTATTTCTGTTTAATATTGTAGTGGTTTTTAAGTGAACATTTTGATAAACTAATACAATAAGATACTTTTCATGTAAAATGTAAAAAACGGACATTTCCCCAATTTTTACACGGAGTTAGGTGGTAGCTGAATCGTCTATTTATTGTATGAATGTTTATGAAGCATTCACACTATTGTGATCCATTTTTCTTTCATACGTTTTTTTTCGGCATCTTTCTCGTTCCACAATTTTTGTGCTATTTCAACAAATCAAATCAAAATGTTCAGCTCTTTCAGGAGAAGGGTGCTGTGACTTTAGGTATTGGTGCAACTTTAGCTTTTTGAAACGTTTAGCTTTTTCTGCCACTTTTTTCCTCATAGAAAATTAATTGAGCTCGTTTTTCATCCTTCATATCTTTAGATGTGTTTACAACTTTTTACTGCTCCTTTCACATTTTGTTCTGGTTCAGCTTCATTGTGCCAATTTAAACTTTTTTCAGCTACTTTCAGATTTTTTTTCAGCTGTTTTAAGATCTTTTTAGATTCTTTCTGATAACTACAACATTTTTGTGCTTCTTTTAACTTATTTCTGTTTATTTCAGCGTGTTATTCTCTTTTCAGCTTATTTCTGCAAGTTTCAACATTTTCTACTATTGCAGCTACTATTTAGCAGTTTTTATACTAATTTTAGCTTTTTCGGCTAATTTCACATTTTTTGCACTCATTTCAACTTTTTTCAGCCTAATTGAGCAAAAATGTTTGCACCTGTAATTTCAGCTCCTTTTTGCTTTTTAGCTACTTTTCAGCAGTTTTTTTGTTGCCAATTTCAGCTTTTTCCACATGATTTTCATATTATTGTTCTCATTTCTGATTCTGTCTGCCTAATATGGCAAAATTGTGCTCTCTCCACTTCCTTCTATTAATTTAATCTTTTACTACCTTTTCAGCTAACTTTTAGCTTTTTTAAGCTAATTTCAGCTGTTTTCAGATAAATTCAAGTTTCTTGTGGTAATTTTGGCAACTTTCAGCCTAAATAACTTCTTTGTACTAATTTTAGCTTGTTATGCTCATTTCAGCGTATTTCTGCTATTTTGGCTACTATTTAGCTGTTTTATGCTAAATTTAGTTTTTTCAACTAATTCCACATTTTTAGCTCATTTTAGCTCCTTCCACTTCCTTCTGGTAGTTTAAGCTTCTTTCTGCCCTTCAGTTACTTTTCATCTATTTTTAGCTAATTGCAGTTTTTTAGCTAATTTTCTAATTTTGTGCTAATATCTGCTAATTTAACCCTATTTCAGCAAATCTGTTTTCTTTCTGCTTTCTTCTGCTAACTTAGTCTTGTTCTTACATTTCAACTACATTTCAGCATGTTTTTAGCTAATTTCAGCTGTTTGTCAGCAAGTTCTTCAGCAATAAGCGTTCACATTGCATTTTTGCAGGAAATGCAATTTCTCTAGTTACATACATATTTATCCCACGTGGTTTAAATTTAACATTTAAAAATTAACAAATGTGACTCATTTATTCAGCGGCCATCTTTTCAACTTTTCCACAGAACTGTAACAAATTTAATGCATGTTGAGAAGTCAGCATGACTATATGTTGTGTTCTGGTTCATTTTAGAGATAATTACACTTGACAAAGAATTTAATACGACTAACGGATCAAAACGTTGCACCACAAAACCTAGACTTGTTCCTGTAAGAAAAACAATGTGTTAAACAAAGTGTAAGAAATCATTTTGAGCCTTTTGTAAAAGCAAAAATAAGTAAATGATAAAAACTAAAAGTTGTAGTTTGATAAATAATTCACCTATAACTTCAGTATTTACTTATCTTCTGGTATATACATTTACTTTTAACTGACTGATCTTTTAGACTTGTTTTTGTGAGGTTTAAATCGAGTTTTCCATATTTGGTTGGTGACAATACGCCAACACTAAAACATCTTAAAAAGTGGTAAATATGAAAATTAAACATGTTAAATAAACCAGCATTCGCTTAAAACCCACAAAACAAAGCAGTTAGCATTTTTCCTGATGTCGACCTTGTAAAATTAACAGCATATTTATATTTGCATTTCACTCCACATGTTTGGTATTTGATATTCTTGTCTTTTGCAAATGCATCCATGCTCACCTCCAAACTGAGAGAGTTTTGCCTCCTGTGTGTCCAGGGGAAGAATAAAACCCGTCGGGTGAAGACGATCTACGACTGCCAGGCCGACAACGACGACGAGCTTACATTTGTCGAAGGAGAGGTGATCATAGTTACAGGGGAGGAGGACCAGGAGTGGTGGGTGAGTTCTGCAGCATTGTTTGGACCTCCACAGTACTACCACAACATGACAGTACTTCATGTTTCCCCCTTTTTTTCCATTCCAGATTGGACACATTGAAGGAGATCCGGACAGAAAAGGGGTATTCCCCATGTCTTTTGTGCACATCTTAAGTGACTGACAGCCAGGCTGACTTGCACTATCTCTCTAAATTGGGAGTTCATGTAAATACCTATCAAACGGCAACACCCCTGGTCACACGACAGGTGAAAAAGAAGAAAAAAACAATGAAGAAAAACCAAGAAGGCTCATCTAGACCTGGATGTCACATCCATGCTGTACAAAGAATGTGTGTATTCTTCCTCTACCAGTATTATCTTAACCTTTTAGCATGGCTGAGACAAAGCCACTCTCAAAACCCTAGCACTTACCTAAAAGTCTATGTTTATGCTGTTCCTGTGTATATATGTATGTAAATATATATATTTGTGTGTGAGTGTATATACATGTTTTATTGTACAAAACATGTACCGTTGCTCTCTGCCTGTCAGACTAAGCATCAGGTTAGAGTGTGAATTTTATCTGTATTAATTTACTGGCCCTCAAGTAATTATCCGCTTATATTCCTGGAACAAAAAACGGACAATATATGAAATGGAATGTGAAATAGGTCATAACATTGTCTTGCATCCCTGTTCACCACCATAGTTGTCTGAAAGAGGCAGGAGCACTGATCTTCCCTAGATGAAGGGTTTTCATTAAATGTACTCCTCGTTCTTGCTTGCTTTGTGTTACATGTATTATGGTTTTACTGTACGGAAACCTGCTGCTGCTGTGTGGAATATCAAATCCTGTGGTTCACTGTAGGTCACCGATTTACTCGTTACACTATGTGTGCACTCAACGCCACCTCAGTCTTTTCCTTTGTGCATGGTGTAACTGGAAACGAGTGGTGCCTCGTTCAAACACTTCAGGGTTTGAAGAGCCACTATTGATATTTAGGACTGCAAAACGAAGCGTATCCTTGTAGCCACAAGTATGGGAATCTGAAGGACATCTTAGCAATAACTTGAGTTTTGCACAGGCTGAGTTTTAACCTGTGTTCACAGTTCAGTGTCTTGTGAAACCTCATGAGCTTTTGTTTGAATCATGCATCATTCCATGTTACTGGAGTCGATACATTTTACAGGTTGCCTGTAAACCAGAAATGTCTCTTAAAAATGAAGGCTTGAGACGATGCATTCAGTCCTCACACTTGCAGTTCTTCCCATGTTAAGGAACAAATCAACCCATTGTATCAATTAAAAGTGCTGTACTTAACTGAACCTGCTTTGTGGTTTTACTTTATTTGTACTTTCATTGTTGAACTTATTTAAGCTGACTTCTCATTTTGACGGTGCAGTAAATTTTAGGTTCCTAATAAACTGGAGCTACAGAATCACTGGAAAACACGGGAAACTGCCGTTTTTGCTAGAAATGGAGTTTAAGCTGTACAAAAATCCGTTTTGATTACAGTTTTAGTACATAAATTAGGTCAATCCTCAAGTTTGACTTAAAACATTCAAAATTAAAGATGTGCTACAGTTGCCATTTAAAAAAAACAGATTTTATTTAACTTTACAATAAAGTTTCATAAGAACACTCGCGTCCTATGCCTTGCATTTAAACATCCAGTATTTAGTTACTGGGATTAAACAAAAACTTTCCATGAACAAAAGTTTTACATTTTAAACGTAATCAACAAAAGCTTAAATTTCTTTTATAAAATAGTCTCATTTTAACAGTTTTATTTAGACACTTGGGTTTTGTGCGTCACTTTTGACCCGTGGTTCTTCTCCACAGACTTGATGACTCCCACTGCAACCGTCTGCTTCAAGTCTCGTGCAGCAAAGCGGCCTGTGAAATCAGAAGGAGGTTTTTTTTTAATTAAAGTTGGAGGTACAACAAAAGTTGCAGTAGGGGAAAAAAAAAAAAACAATCTACCTAATGGAGGATAATGGAAGAAGCTCTCCACACACATGGGCTTTACAGGAATTAGTTTGACTGTTGCAGCATCTCCAGACATCAGGATCTGAGGGTGGTCCTCCAGTTTCTTGCCTGTACGGCGGTCAAGTTTCTCCTTGAGCTCCACGAACCGGCAGGTGATGTGGGCAGTGTGGCAGTCCAGCACCGGGGAGTAGCCAGTTTTTATCTTCCCTGGATGGTTTAGGATGATCACCTGAAAGAAGACCAGAAGTTTTAGTTCTCGTTTTATCATTTACGACAGTAGCTTCACACAGACCTGAGCTTCGAAGCTGTGGACATCTGAAGGAGGATCCTGCTGAGCGTTCCCAGCCACGTCTCCTCGCCGCAGGTTCTTGACGGACACGTTCTTAATATTGAAGCCAACGTTGTGGCCCGGCAGAGCTGTGTCCAGCCCCTGGTGGTGCATCTCAATAGACTTAACTTCTGCTGTAAGCTTGGCAGGGGAGAACATCAGAGTCATGCCAGGTTTGAGGATGCCAGTTTCGATCTTTCCTACTGGTACAGTCCCAACTCCTGAAAAACAAACCTCGTTTAGACCAGATTTAAACATTGGCACACCTACAAAAGCCTACCTCCAATTTTGTACACATCCTGCAGAGGTAGCCGTAGTGGTTTGTTAATGGTGCGCACGGGCGGTTGAATGGAGTCTAGGACTTCAAGCAGAGTCTTCCCACTCGCCGTTCCTTCCCGTTGTCGCACTTTAAAGCCTTGGTACCATGGCATCTGCACACAATTATAAAATTTATCAATCCACTGCAGCATTTGATCATTTTAGTCAAGGATCATCACTACCTTCTGGGTTGGGGTGATCATGTTCTCCCCAGTCCAGCCAGAAATGGGAACAAATGGAATTGCTGCAACATCGTAGCCAATCTTCTTCAGGAAGACCTTCACACCTCGCACCACTTCTTCGTAGCGCTTCTGGCTGTACGGCGGTTCAGTCAAATCCATCTTGTTCACGCAGACGATGATCTGCTTGACACCCAGAGTGTAGGCCAGCAAGGCATGTTCTCTGGTCTGACCACTTCTGGACACGCCTGCTTCATATTCACCTTTCGCCGCAGAAACCACCAAGAGGGCAACATCCGCCTAAAACCGCATACAACCTTCAGCCAACATTCATTCAAGTTCAACTCATTTTTCTTCCTCCCCACCATTTCATTACCTGAGATGTCCCAGTGATCATGTTTTTAATAAAGTCACGATGACCAGGAGCATCAATGATGGTCATGTTGTATTTCTGGGTGTTGAATTTCAGCAGGGAAATATCAATGGTGATCCCCCGCTCCCGCTCGGCCTTCAGCTTGTCCAGCAGCCAGGCGAACTTGAAGGAACTCTTCCCCATCTAGAAAACACATTTTGGTTACGGTTCTACATTTCTTTAAAACTCTTCAAAGTTTCCTCTCCTGACCTGAGCTGCAGCCTTCTCAAACTTGTCCAGTTTCCTCTGATCGATGCCACCACACTTGTAGACGAGGTGTCCGGTTGTCGTGGACTTTCCACTGTCAACATGGCCAATGATGACCACATTAACATGAGCCTTCTCTTTTCCCATCGCTGTTCAGTAGAACAACCAACAATTATAATATCACTTACAATTAACTAGCTTTACTCAGGTTTTTCTATCAAATAGCCCTGCTCAGCTAATTCAGACTCTCTTTATAGACCTCACAATGCTCAAGTGAAAACAGGTGCGCAGTTTAATTAGGTGTGAATGGTGCCTGCTGGTCACTGAAGCACAATGGAGCTGATAAACGCAAATGGTGTAAAACCCAGGAGAGAAAACCTAAATGCTTTAAAAAAATATCACTTTTATCAATGATGATGTGGAAGAAAAAACTATACAAAGGTTTCACTTTGCATTTGATTTACAGGAAGAAGGCAGAAGTTAAACTCAATACCAACCTTTAGCACATCTGATAATTATGTCCAGGTGTATCATGTGGCTTTGGAAAAACAAATCAGAAAAACAAACACAAAATGAACAATATATATGAATTTAAAAAAAAACAGACAGCTGTTTAGGCCATAAAATTGCAAGAAATCTAAAAAGAACTAATATACGGGTAAGTAAGACTGAGATTAAAGTGGATTACTGTACAGTACACAATGATCCTGTCCAAAGAAATGCATACTCCTGCAGGAAGTGACCCAGACTGGACTGGAAATGCCCCAGCTAGCTGCTACTGCTATTTGTAGTTGCAAATAATCACATAAATCTATGCAAATAATCATAAAATTAATATTAATGCAGTGGTTTATTTAAAAAAAAGTGTTATAAAAGTTCAAACATTACAAAATGGCTGACATGTATGACAAGTGGGCAATTATGAATTTTTGTTGACAACACAAGGATGGTGTAAGTCTTTTTATTCAAACATCTGAAAATGTACACACCCATTACAAAAGTATCAACCAACTCCCAGCTGCACATGTCAAGAACAACGGGCAACCCAAACACAATTAGCGAGGAGCTGTTTTGGACAAATAGGCATCTTAAAAGGAGACGGTTCTTTTTAGTGAGCTGAGCCAAAAAAATCAAATCCCGGAAAAGAGCCGTAGTTCCCACCATTAGACTGGAAATAACCGTTTGTTTGAATACAGCGGGCGTCTTCTGACCAGGCGGGTCCATTTGTCAGATGTGTAAATGCGTAACCGCCCCTCCCTCCGTGCTTAGCAGTGACTGTAACCGAACTTCCCCCTCCTTCATCGCAATGACGCTTGGATAACTAACCAGGAAACGGCGGCAGCAAATCGCTTTTCTTCTTCAAATCCGTACCGCCGCTGCTTACAGCGTGGTATTCAGTCGTCGACTCGCGTGTATTTCTCAAAGAGCATCAAGGTAAAAAAAAAAAAATTCTACTTTCTCAAGTATCTTTTCGGCTTCGTAACTATCCGCCTTACCAGCGTGGTAGCCACTTACTAAAGCTCTACATGTCAGGTTTAGATTTTTGTTTAATGAATGACTCGTTAACGTGGTCAGGTTAGAAAAAAATACACTCGGGTATCGTTGACTTGCAGAATAAAATTAAAAGTGGTAAATATCATTACCGCGCTGCATCCTGTCCATGTACCGTTAACTTCCTCTTTTCAGAACAGCAGCTAGTTTCTCAAAGGAGTCGCGAAGCTACGCAGCCGAGCTGATCTTTCCTTTATTTGGACAGGGACATTGAACGTTACATGGCTGACCCTCTGCAGCCAGGCCATCAACTGCGCGTTTGGCCTCGTGCGCTTTAAGCTGCTGCATGGACAGAGACCGCAAATGATGCATCATAAAGGCAGTGCACACACTGACAGCTGGGGCATCTTGGAGCTGGTCTAGATATCCACTCTGATGCACACCTGTTCACAGATCTACACGGTTTTACGATGTTCACTATTTAAGATGAGGAGAACAGATTAGAAATGTGACTATTACTTTATAAAACTTTGCTTTTCTGTCAGTTTATCATGTGTAATGGACCTGAAATGACTCACTTAAACCAACAATTGAATGCATATGCGCCTATTTCTTCTGGGATACTAATTTTAAATTAAAGATTTGTCTCTTGTCATTCCATGAATGGCCTTTTTAACCACAGAGCCCTATAGCTATAAGGACTGTGTGTTATTTCCTTCCTGCCCAGGATCTGAAGTAGTTGCTGAAAGTGGAAGCGAAACAACCAGATAGATGAATTTGTCCATCAGGTATTGTGAAAGTGCAGCATAAATGGGTTCACAGTTTCCTTTGTGAAAAGTAGACCAGACAGCAGCGCAGTTGATTCACTGCGACTCTTCTAGTTGGTAATGCATGCCGATAGAACTGACACAGTTTTTGGGTGTTTCTTGTGAACTTTATTTCTGCTTGCTGCAGAAAATAAAAGACTCCCCTCAGGTGTGGCTGTAAAAGAGATGTAGAGATCAATGGCCTGTTTGGATTTTTATAAAAACAAATTGGGTTCTAATTTCTAAGAACTCCAAATGAAAGCATGCAGTACATATCTATTTGGATTAGACACAACAAAGCATTTACCTTAAATGTTTTTATGCTGGCATATTTCTTCCACACCAAAAATGTGTTGTGCATTCGTAGTCCAGGTAAAGGTACGTGCCGCATGTCACCAGTCAGGCTGTTTAAGTTGAACAGGTCAGTGCAGCTCTCCAGTCGGAGCAATTATTGCATCCTAAGTATTTGGTGACAAATGAGTTACTTTAGTTTTTAGTTGTTTCTACAGCTTCTGAAGTGTAAAACATTTATTTTTATTTGAATTTCCCTCTTTAGTGTTCCCATTTTACCATCTTATTTTTATTTATTTATTTTTTTTAGTATGTCTTGACCTAAAATAAACATTTTCCTTTTTAATTCTTTACCTCCGTGTTTCTCCTTAGTTTGTGGCGTTTGACTGGAAGACATGACGGTACCTGACTAGTGCCACGGCTGTAAGAAGTTAAACATGGTCAAACTTGTTACGCCCTCTGTCATACCAAAGTGAAGATTGGATAATAGGTGGAGTGATTTAAAAAAAAAGTTTTCAGGAAAACTCATATTTTGTGTTTTGAATACTGGTGTATTGAAACCTTCAGCAAATGGCAAGAGTTGCTCGTTTTGAGGCATGAAGTTAGACGGCTTTCGAGTACTTTGTGTGTAGTCTCTAGTTTTCCTCTCATTGTCTCAGTTTGTGAAACAGCCGTGAAACAAAGTATTTTTCGCTTGGTGCAGGGCTGTAAAGCCTAGTCAGGTGCAGGTACGGACGTGCTGGTGCGCCCAGGCATGACTGTTTCACTTTAGATGCTCACTAAACCAGCACTATTTTAACAAATGATAGAAAGAAAGAACAGAAAAGCACTTTGGAAATCAAATCCCACGAGAGGGGAAACTTCACAAAATTTTCTCCACAAAATATATATATAGTACTGTCCTTTAAAGACTTCTTTGTCCAGTGCAGCACTTTATTTTATTTAGCCGCACTTCAGGTAAACTGTATTACCGTATTTTCCGGCATATAAGTCGCAGTACTGCAACAGCGAGTCCTCCCGTGCGCGCTCGCTTCACTCAGCTGATGCAGGCGGAGGAACGCTGGAGAGCTAGCGGCTCCGGCTGCGATGGATAAATGGATAGATGGCGCCCCGCTGCCCAGGCGAAATGAAGCCGTTTTGACCATTAAATCAACTCAAGGGTTCAGCGGTGACGCATAATAAATGCGACTTTTACGCAGAAATGACTTGTATATGTTTTTTTCCTCTTCATGATGCATTTTTGTCTGATGCGACTTATACTTATACCACCACTGCCGCATAGTTTTAGGGGACGAGATGGTGTAGGTGCAGGGCAGCCGACTCGGGACCCGAAGGTCCTGGGTTCGATTTCCAATCATTGCACATCTCATGGTGTTTCTGAGCAGGACACCTAATCCTGAATTGCTCCCCGGGCGCTTGCATAGCTGCCCACTGCTCCACCTGGGTATATCCTGGGTGCGATGGGTTAAATGCAGAGAGCCAATTTCATCTTTGTATGGGAACATACAATGATGACAACACATAGCATTTTATTACTTTATTATTATACTCCAGAGCGACTTATACGCTGGAAAATATGGTGTATACTCCATTACCAGCAGCTAGTAGACACACACACGCATGCTGAACGTCTCTGTCACTTATTGTTCTGTGATTAGTTTTGCCAAAGACAAACATTTCTCAGATTATTAGTGTGTGAACACATATTTTTAGGTTCTTGGCACTTTAAGCTCCTTATTTTGTGCTGAAGTGAGTTGTTTTTGTCCTCTGTTGTTAGTTGATCCAATAACACCAGCAGTTGTGTAACCTACAACGGCCTCACAAAATGCTTAAACCCACACCGACACAGTCCCGGCACAACTTGTACTATAAGGTGATTTCTGCCGGACGTTGTATTCATTTTCTATAATTTGTGTATTGATTGGCATATTTTGCGCTGTGCTGCAGAAAAACTCAACATTGATCCATGTTTCTGTCATACATGACTGTTATCAGGAGTTAATCCAGAGATGTTTCGGTTTTATTCAGAGGTGCTTGATTTGCAGCTTTAATATTGATGTTTTTTTTAGAACTCCTGTAATCTTTGGAGGCCTGGCTGTCCGATTTGCCTCGGAGTACACGCTGCTCCCCTCCTTGTGTTGCACTTTTGCGTGCCTGCTCTTGTCGATAAGCAGATCAGAAGTAAAATGATGACATACCTGAGTCATCAGTGGGAAGAACTGACTGCAGCCCCCGTGTTCAGGTGCATGTGGCTGGATTATTAGAGAGCAGAAATTTGAAAGGTTCCTTTTAATTAAAATGAAATTCACTGCATTTCTTTTTAAAGGTCTGTTATAGAACCTTTGAAATGTGTATGAAAACTAAATATTCCTCTTGAAACGAACATCTTTCACCTCCACAACCTCATTCACTTACTCTACTACTTCATTCCTCTTCCCATCTGGAAAACCAGCTTGAATCCACCTCCATTGCTCCTCACTTTGCTTCCCTTCCTGGTCCCCTGCAAACAATATAACGTACCGATGTTCTGCACACGTGCACGCTTTCTGACCCATTCACAGGTTTGCTTGCTAGTTTATTATAGCAATAGTTCCAGCTGACCTTGAGTACACAATTTCGTTCCACCTCATGTGCCGCATGTGATGCAAATGACAAAAAAGAACCTTGAATTTTGTTTTTGTGAAAAGTAGGGATGCACGATATTATCGGCATGGTATCAGTATCAGCCAATATTGGCGATAAAGTTAAATATCGGCCATCAGCCATTCCATCAAATTAATTCACCGATATAAAAGGTGCTGGTTTAAAAAAAAAAAAAAAATCTATATATAGTGTTACATCGTTTTCAGCCCCCTTTTTGTCATCTGCATTTGGTAGCAGGCCAATTTGACAAAGCCCATGCAGAATAATGTAATTATTTATTAATTAATTATTAAATTTATATTAATACTATTAATTATTAAAATAATGTAAAATGTAATAATTCCACAGCAGAGAAAGTCTCTGTATCTAGGGAAAGAATATCGGTATTGGTATTGGTTATCGGCCATATAAGTTTTAACATATCGGATATCGGCCACAAATCCAATATCGTGCATCCCTAGTGAAAAGGTTATCAATGGTAAGCATCTTACCTGTTGTAGCTAGCTGTTTGACCGGCTTCAGTTTAGAGAAATCGTTTAGTTCAGACAGGACTGACTAGCTCCCCTGAGCAGGCCCAAGACCAACGTGAATTACTATAAATGTAAAAATTAAGATGTTCAGTTTGTGGAAATGCTTTTTGACTAGGGTCAAATAAAGAGTTATACGTTTGGTTCATAACCTTTACACCAAACCCCACTTCTGAAAATCTGAGCTCATCTTTATGCTGATTGTTGTGCTTTAAGTGAGCAGGAGATGGTCTGGAGCTGTGTGGAGGCTCCTAACTGCGGTGGTTTGTGTAGCTACGAGCAGTTTGCTCTTGATGTGTGCGAGTCAGTGAGAGTGTGTTTCGGGTTTTGATTCGTGAGCAATACTCTCACTTCCGCCTTCTGATGTTGCCTTACTGAAGCCCTAAGCAGCGTTATAATGAGAAGAGAGAGCAGTCTCGTCTGATCCGAAGGCCTTCAACAGGATGCTTTCGCTGTAGGCTCGCTGTTTTCAGCAGCATCTTCACACTGAATGTGGAAACAAGGCAAAGAGCACTTTGCATGCAATCTGTCAACATAAAGCTATAAATAGCATGGCCTACTCAAGAGGAAAAAACCCACATCTTTCACACATGCACAGAAAACTGTTTCAGGCTCTCAGCTAAGAGAAGAGACCATGTTGAATTTCTCCCTGAAGATCTGGCTGAATATTTTCCCT